TATAAAAAACGCGGCTTAATTAATTATTTTATAATTATTAATTAATTAAAAGATATAAGAATTGATAAAATATGTAAGTTAAAGTTTAATTAAGGTATTATATTTATTTATTATTAAATTGCGTTAATTATTATTATTTATTTTATTATTTTTTATTATTTAAAAATTTTTAATAATAACGATTTACTATAATACTTTTTTATATACAGTAAATTATTTAGTGTAATGTTCTTAATAATTAAAGGATTTTTATTATAATTAATTTAAAAATAATAAAAATAAAATTCTTAAAACAAATATTACTTTATTATAAATAGATAGTTACCATAGTTATTACTAAATTGATTAAAAATTGATTGGTAATTAAAAAATAGTTATATATTAGCATAAATTAAGGATTTGGAAGATTTAAAATGTTTTTTATAAATACGATATGGGACTTTATTCAAATAATTATAAATTTAAACGATTAAACCTTTAATATGTTTGGGATTTTACAATTAAGTTATAATTTATCCAATTAGGCTACCTTAATAAATGTTTACGTATATAGGGAATAAACTATTTATAACTTAACTTTAAATATAATTGGTATAAGGTATTAAAGATTTAAATAATATCTAAAACTAATTATTTGTGATAATTTAGCGAATGTATCAATTAATTATTATATTATTAAGAAATTAAATAACTAGCTATTTAAATAGTTATATGTCTTAATTATTAATATTATGTATTAAATATCGAATAATAAAATATTTACAATCCAAAATAATAAAAAATGCAATTTTTTAACAATATTAATTATTTACTAGTATTTTATCGTTTAAAACTTATTAAATCCTTAATTAAAACGTTTAGAAGCTTTTAAGCAAAAGAAAGGCTTAAAAATTAAACTACCGCTACTACCATTACCAATACTATTACCATTATTATTAACTAAATCGGTTACAGTATCACAAATAGATAAGAGATTATAAAAAAAAGGAAAAGTAATATATTTTACATACTTCTTATAAATAACCTTAAAATCAATATTATTGATAGCGGTAAAGGAAGGTATTATAAAAGTTATATATAATATATATCAAGAATTAAATAATAAAGTTTACCTTAAGATAATATAATATTATAATAAAATAAAACAATCTTGTTGATCAAATAAAAATCAATTAAATAATATTAAAATGAATTAAGATAAATTGCAAGAAATTAAGATTTATTTAATACGAAATAAGGAAACGAAGGTTTATAAAAAAGGAAAGAAAAAGCGAAAAAAAAAACAATTCATATAAATCGTAAATATTATAATAATTACCCCATATTAAAATTTATAAGTATATATAAGTATATACACCATCTTTTAACAAATTTTTTAACCAATTAAATCTTTTCAATTAATAACAATAAGGTTTTAAGATATAATATAAAAAAACTATCAGCCATATTATTTTATAAGTATTTTATTCTTTCTCTTATAATATTATTTAATATATTAACGTTTTAATTAAGTTAATATCTATCTTTATATTAATTTATTTTTATTATATCCTATTATATTACCATTACTAATTTAATATACTACCGGTAGTATTTTTTTTATTTATTTTTTAAAATGTTTAATATTTTTTTTATAAAAGTTAAAATAAATGTCAAGTAGTAAAAGATATATAATTTAATTTATTTGTTTTAATATTTAATTTATATTAGTAAGTTATTTGATTAAGAAGATTATATTAATTTCAATTTTTAGCGTATAATTATTATTGATAGGATTATATTTTCGAGCGATAAACTTAATGATTTATTATGTATCTAGTTGTTGTTATTAAAAATTAATAAGAAAAAATAGGAATAAAATCTATTCTTTAAACTTATCCATATTTTTTAGTTATATAAAAAAAAAAAGTAGTTATATGTTGAATAAATCATAATTTTATAAAAGTTAATAATATTAAATATTTTTAATTAAATAACAAAATATAAGTTAATAATAGCCTGGATATTTAATTATTAAGTTATAAAAGGTTTTAGTATAAAAATAAAAAAGATCTTAAAAAATTGCTTTAAAGTAATGGTTTTTTTAGTATTTATTAATTTATTAAATTTGGAAAAAACGAAGGAAGCTATAGGTAATTTATGTTATTATCTTTTTGCTATTTATATATTTAAATAAAAATAGATTTATATATTTGATATAATTAAAAATGGAATAAATTAATAAATTAATTATATTAGTAAGTAGTTAGAAATAGTTATAAAAGATTAAGATTAAACTTTTATACCTAAAAAATTAGTTTTGTTTAGAATAATAGATTAGAATAATAAATAAATATGTGGATATTAGTATAGGTTTACGTTATATTTAATTATAAAAAAATCGAAAATTTTATTAAATACGATAAAATATGGTATAAATCTGTATATTTTATTTAAAAAATATATATAATTTTTTTTTGTGTATTTAGGTATTAAAATAATTAATAAATTGATTAAGGAATTAGTACTGCCGGTATTTTTATAACCTTTAAAAAATATAAGCCTTATACTTAAACATAAATTATAATAAAAAATATTTATTATTAGGATTAAGTTGAAAATATTAAAGAAATAGTAGATTAAAATTTTGAATATATTGAAAATCCTAAAGTAATTAGTTAAACCGATTATTAGTGATAGTAATATGTTGATTAAAGAATTTTTGGATATAATAAATTTAAATAAACATTATTTATATAATTTTAAATTATATAAAGTTAATTAGTATAAATATAAGAAGTTTATTCTGTATATATAAGTTATTAATATATATGAGATTGTTGTTATTTAATTATAGCTTAATTTTTTAATAAAATAGTTAAATTAGAATAAATTTAAAAAATAACTTGAGTAAATTAGGTTAAAGTTTAAAAAAGTTATTAATTAGGTTAAAAGTTGTATTAAATAAATTAAAGCCAAGGTTAAAAAACAAACTAAGATTGTTAAGTTAAAAAATAAAAATATAAGTAATTCTGATAATTAAATCAATTTATTATTATTAAAAATATATTAATTAGTAATTTATGTGTTGAATTGGAATACTTTTTTATTAAAATTACTTTACTATTACTAATATTATTAATTTTAAAAAATATTAAATTGGTATGGTGTTATATTGTCAAAAATAAAGGTATTATTATATAATCTTAAGTTATAGATTATATAAAAATCTAATATTTATTATATTTTTCTGATTAAATAGTTACAATCATTACCATTTAATTATATATTTAATATAAATATATTTATTATTTTCTTATATTTATAGCTTATAGTTTTATCTTATGTATTTATTTTATATATCTTATTTAATCAATAAATCCTTATAGTTTTTCTAGAATATAATACTATTATTAACTATTTAAAGCTTTTTACAAAGATTTAGACGTTAAAATAATATGTTATATTCTGCAGGAAATATCAATTTTTGTTTAATATTGGGAAGGCTGTACTATAAGGCTATACCACAAGGCTGTACCATAAGGCTGATGATTAAAAGCCTCAATAGCCCCAATAGCCCAAGCAATGCGAAATTTTTTTTCAAGGCCTAGGATTCGATCCCCATTCGTGTTGTTTTATTTCTTTTTTTTCAGGTCCCAACCCTTATTTCGTGGGTTAAATTTGATCTCGTAGCCTCGATAAAATTCGAAAGGAGGTTATAAATTGGTACTGGTGTATTAAGTGACTTTAATCTTGATTATGTAATTATATTCTTAATATAAATACCATTTATAATCGTACATACTTATTTTACATAATATCATCCACTTTTAATACAAGTCATTCTTTTTCATCAATTTTATCATTTAAAAATCCTTGATATCAAGTTTAATAAGGCTTGATCCAAGGTTAAGACGTTTAAGTCTTGTTTATTATTACGTTAAATAACTTATTAACAACAATGATAGTTTTTCGTAATTTAAATCTTATCGGTTTATAATATTTTAAACTATTATTTAACGGTTTAATGGTAATAAATAACGGTTTAAACCTTACGTTTACGTTTTAAATCGTTTAATAAAAAAGGTTTTTAATAAATTATTTAATAAAAAAAGCTTAACTGTTATAACGTTGATTAAATAATATATAAGTTAAAAATAATATTAAATAAAACTAAAAATAATTTAAAAAAAATCATATAACAATTTTTTTTCGAAACATAAATAAATTTAACGAATTTTTATTTTTATTAAAGAATTAAAAACCGTGAACAATTTGATCGAAGCTTAAAAATAGCGGTTTTAACCTAATAAACCTTAATAATTTAATTTTTTAAATATTTTATAATTTTTTTAATTTTATTATAAAATAAATTACAATTATAATAAAGTATATAAACGCGTTAACGTTATTTAATAATTAATTAAATAATATGTATACTTTTTAATTAAATTATATTATTAATATTATTAATATAAAAAACAAAATAAATATATAGGAATAACATTAACATAAAAAAATAACCATATTAAATAAACCCCTTTTTAAGTATGTACCTTTGGGATATCTATAATAAATTAGTACCAAAATAATATGGTGTTTTGTCTAGCTCGCCCCACGGGTACCTGACAGGGCAATTTTACTTTTGCTTGTAACCATAGTATGGTTAGTTAACAGGTTTTGTGGAGCTCAAGGAGACGATCTACCCTTCCCTTCAGCACGAGAGCCTCAGCCCTCAGAGCTTGGTTTCAACTAGCCAAGAAAGAACGGATACGCGTGCCTTATCTGGTTTAGTACCTAATAAGAAGGGGTTGTTAATAAACCCAACCCGCTAGGATAGAGTGCGACATCTTAGCAAAAGCTCACACAAAGGGTGGCGTTTCGTTTGAACGGTTTCGCATTTGCCCTCTAAAGGCTCATTTCACTTATATCTTATCTATATCCCAGTATCATTGCCGCAGGTGAGCACGTTCCGACAAGGTAGAAGGTCGTCAGGAAAATACAAACTCAGAACGGATTCTTCCCTCTGTAGAACTACGCATTTTCTTATTTTAACTTCAATTCTCAGTAACTGCAGGGCAGTATATTCTAGATAGTGATAAGGCCGGTCCTCTTGTTCCCATAATATTTTGTAATAATCGTCATTCTTTTCATTCTTTTCGTTCTCGTTTCGTTCGTTTCCTTCTCCGTTAAATCAGTTTGCGATAATGCATACTCCATCGCTACCCCCGATATATGAAGTACTAGAAGACGACTTTGAGAAGGGCGAGTTAGTCTATTTCTTACCGAAGAGACAGCAGCCCAGATTTAGAAGGCGGCGACAGTGTGTGCGAGATGATACTAGTCAAGGAGTCCTCTCCATAATTCTGATCGCTCTTGGGATGTTCTTGCTGGGCATAATCTTCGCATTAGCTATCATCGAATTTAGATCCCAACATCCTGCGAACGGTAGCTACGAAACCGGGTTCCAAGAGGAGAAGCTATGTAAGCTGCCTAAAAATACGATGCACCTAGAGCCATTATCTGATATCTCGCCAATTAGTACCACCTAGTTCTATTGAGCTTGAGCAAGTCCAGTTCAAGCTACCCGTAGACTTTGCACCAAACGGAGATGAGTTCCTCGTCGCTCAGCCAGGCGATATATCTTACATCGGTACAGCTGCAGATGTAGATGCTGCTTGGAAGAAACTCCTATGGGGAAGATACTTCTCGATTTCTGAGACCGAGGCGAAGGAATTATGGGGAGATGAATACTCAGAGTATTGGGACCACCACAGGAGCGGCTACACGGCAGGGTGAGTTGTTCGCCCCATTTCTGTATACAGACACTTCGAATTCTATATGCTAACTATAAATAAATCAGGTTCGACATGTTCCATCAGCTGCATTGCCTGAACCAAATCAGGCAAGCCTTACACCGCGACGTCTATCCGGAAACCCCCCTTCATGGATCCGTTTACACCGGTTTGTGGTTCTTTCACACCCCCTCACGAGTTCCTCACCGCTAACTCTACAAGACCACTGTTTGGATCAACTGCGCCAGTCGATAATGTGTTGGGGCAGTACAGCTGTCGTCCCGTTAAAGTATTTCAATGGGTACGGCAGTGAATATGTGAAGACGGATGCAATTCATACGTGTCGAAAGTTTGAGCCAATCCGAGATTTCGTTTCCGAGAGATTTAATGGGAGCCTCTTCGTCCCGCGGCCTAGTGGATGGATTGATACATTGGATAATGCCATTTAAGCGAATAGACACCTCATGCCGAGTTGTTTGTAAACCAACCTTGCTATTATTAGAATACCCATAGAAAAGTCGACTATACGGGAGATAGATCTCCAAGCAAACTTCATATCTCCTAGCACAGATAGTTATATACCCCCTCTTTGAATTATTAGATTGCCATTTCTGAATTTTAAATTTTCTAAGACTCTATCCTAGAGGGAAGTTGAGTGGGCGCTAAAACATAGAACATAACTGATTGTAGTTATAAGAGTACTGTTCTACAGAATCTTCTGTTTGAAGCCTACTAGCAGGCTGCTCAACATAAATAGCAACAGAGACGGTTTCTGAGCTAGACTATTCTCTCTTTCGAAAGGGTCAACACTAGATCTCCGCTCGGCGTGGACTTCTACTTCGAATTCTCTGATTACTACTATCAGGAACATGAAGAGTAGCCGTCTCGGGTTCTGACTTCTCAGAGCGTGTCTCTTCGCTTCCGCTATCCGTGTCAGCGAGACTCTCCAACTCCATCTCCTCGTCGGGGACCCGTCTTGGACCATGCTGATTGGACAGGTCGACCGGCTTTTCATGCGTGTGAAGTTTCATATTCACAAACATTGCATATAAGCCGAAGTCGTATGATAACCGACAGCTACCTGCTACAATGAATGCAATCCAAAATCGGTCGCTCGAAGCTAACATTCCGGTGACTGTGGGTCCTGCTGTAGCGGCTAGAGTCCTAACGGTGGACGTGATACCCATAACTGCCGTTCGTTCCTCGGGCTTCACCACCGCTGCTATGAAGGCTGCCCGTGGTGCTTGGTCCATATTATTCAATCCTGCACGGATGAGCAAAAGCCCTGCCGTCATCCAGAGATAAGGTGGGAAAGGGAAGAATAACACAGCGGCCGAGGACGGGGTGTGAGTAAACACCATTGTGTTAATTAATCCGATTTTTCGAGCTAGAGGACCCGCAAAGGACGCTGAGATCGCTCCCATAAAGTAACTAAACGAGGTAATGTCGCCAAGGGTTGACTTGGCTGGATGAAACTTTTCGTCCATGTAATAGTTAGTTAGAGAGTACGGCACCATTCCGTCTGCAAGAGAGTCGACAGCCAACAAGAACCAGAGTTTATACATCACCGATCGGGTTGGCGGTGATATTTGGGCTAGTTGATCCGATAGCCACCTAAAGACCCGAATGATCCAATTTCGAGATGCTTGAGGGGTAGGAGTCACCTCCGAAGACTCTTCAAAATGCCCCGCATCTACGTCAGTGTCGTCTGTGCTATCATCTTGTGTGAGCTCTGTATAAGCTTCTTTCTCTGGTTGCAGTTCACAGGCGTCTGTTAGAAATAGGACCAATACAAGGTTAACAATACCCATTACGGCATATATCCAAAAGAGGGCATGGTATGAGTCAACCTCAGTCCAATTATCCTTACTCTGCAAGTAGCGGAGGACTCTTCCTGATAATTCACTTCCCAATGATGAGCCAAATAGTGCCGTAGTGACATGCCACGACAATACATCTGCTCTTATCGAGGGGGTAGTAAGCTGTGAGATTATAGACCTAGATAATTGTTAGAAATCATTAATTCTATAACATTCTTGAAAGATAATTCGACTAACTCTTCGATGCTTCGAAATGGTCCGAAGTCCCCACCGGTAATACTAATAACACCGACAATTGCAGCAAGGAGCAAAATCCAGAAATTTTCAAAGACGGCAAAGATGAGACCGCTCAGTATCATCAGTATAGAGCCACCGAGTAAGACATTTCGTCTCCCGACACGGTCTGCGACGAGTGTAAGAAAGGTTCCGAGGATGACATCTCCCACCAGCGTAAATGTCATGAACAGGCCAATTTGATGATCCGATATCCCCAAGGCGGAGAAGAAGATCGCTACAAATCTTATTAAACAACCGGACTATTACACTTTTCGCGGGGTTAACTAGAAAAATGTAGGTACCTAAAATCAGCGCATTGGTCCCGTACGCAAACATCCGGCACGTCCGCGCCAAGATAATGAGATAGGCATTCCGACCGGTCTCGTGGATCGCGGCGATTCCGAACACATGGTAAAACCATTTGAAGGGCTTTACGATTCTTCCAAACATCTAGGTTAGTAAACTTAGGTAGTTATCCAATAACTAGCAGCATATAAAAACCACCAATAAATCCGATACAATGTGCATGCAAGAAATAGTATTGGTTTATGTTTCACGAGATAGATTACATTAGGTTAAGGTATTGTACCTTGTAAGCAAGCAAAAAAGAAAGTCGGTGCCTAGCCTTAGCCGGCACCGGCTGGGCACCGTCACGGGAGAGATAGCCGACGTCGGCATTGCACCATTTGTCCCCGGATACGTTACATTTTCAAAGGGAATAATACGGGCCCCGATAGGTGACTTGGATTTTATACCTGCATACTCTTATTATAATTGAATGGCCAGTGAAAATAAAGCTGTTTATCTTGCTATGGATTACACCAGACCATATCATATATGTGTAAGAGTTATCCTGAAATTAATACATCTCGGGATATTTTATTTCAGCTTGGATATCAGATCCATGTAAACTAGATATAATACAATGTAGTATTCAGAGTTATGACTTTGATACTGCCAACGTTTTTTCTATAAGCCCCGTATGATCCAAGTAAAGTATCTCCGTCTGCTTCACCAAGTACATAAGTGTTTTTGTCTCTCCAACGAACACTTGCGCATCCCCAACTACTTCGGGTAGTCATATTAGAGATGCTCTCCTGTCCATCTATATCCAAAATCTTTTTTTTCATGTTTATACCTCGGCAAGGAACTATGAGCTCCCATTGGCGCCAAGTTTACCTTCGGTCTTTTCTATGTGGTCGACTAGATCCTCGATTGTGCAGACCTTGAGTCCCCATCTCCTCGCGAATGCGATACATCCCTCACCCCTCATCATTCCCGGGCCTTCTCGCACGGCCCTCCCGGCGACCTCGTCCCCGTCTTCGACTATCTCGCAGATCGCCGCCACCTCCGGCTTACCCGCCAGTCTACAAAAGTCCACTCCAGCTTCGGTATGGCCTCTCCGAGCTCTGACACCACCTGGACGTGCGCGCAGGGGGAACACGTGGCCTGGGCGCCGAAAGCTGACAGCGGTAGATTTGGGATCTGCGAGGTGTCGGACTGTTAGGGCGCGGTCATGGGCGCTGATGCCGGTAGTAACGGAGGGGTCGGCGGCATCGATAGAAATTGTGTAGGCGGTTCCGCGAGGGTCTTCGCTATTTTCTACCATCTGCGGTAGTTTTAGGGATTCCGTAAGGGCGTGTGTGATAGGCGCGCAGATTAAGCCGGACGTATGTCGAACCATGAAAGCCATTTGCTCGGTTGTTATGCTATCGGCAGCTATGATCAAGTCACCTTCATTCTCGCGACTCGGGTCGTCCATAACGACTATAAATTCGCCATTTCCTAGACCAATAGGTCAGTGTTAGTCGACTGCGACATAAATTGATCTCGGGGGAAATCCTCTTGGATACCTAGGACTAAGGACACGTACGAAATGCGGCAATTGTTTCGGGTATGCCGTCGAACTTATTGTGATTGATGAGTGCAGATGGCATGATAGGCGAGTTTTTATAAGATACCCTAATGTTACTACTTCCCAAGGCTTTCTAGAGTAGGTATCGCAAATCGGGAATAAATTGGAGGACTGCGTCACAATGTACGATCGAACGGTGGCGTATAAGTGGTAAGATGTTGTCTGTTCAGAGTAAAGTCGCTTTTTAGGAACAAAGGCCAATAAAGTCTCGATGTATGAGAGGTAATTTACACAGTGAAGGAACTGGAAAGTTGAAGTATGAGTAAGAAATAACTGAGTACAAATCACGGCAGGCAATTACTCATCCCGGGATTTTCAGACCGGACAATGAGGAAGCAACTTGCAAATGCTGACTGATGACCCATTTGTCTCATCTAAGCTAAGACTTCGCCGAGGGAACTTCTAAAGGGACTTTCTTCAGCGGGGTCGGATTTCAACTATGAGGGGCTTGCGCATTAAAGATATATGGGGCGCAAGTTAATCCGCCATCCCCTTAGGGTCCGAAATTACATCACATTAGACACTATCGCGCATTTTTACTGGCCAATTCCAAATTCTACCCTTTCATGTACCACCCGATCGGATTTTCCACTAGGCTGAGCCGGCGCATGCCGTTAAAGGGTAACTCACATGCATGGCCATGGCTCTTCAGCTCACTGGGCAAAGCTCGTTACCTAATTTGGAACTTTTCAATCTTCATGCCATCAATCTTTCCCGTCTTCTACTCTTGCACGACAACAGCATCTGTCACAGCTAAACAGAGAAATTCTAAAATTACATGAAGCTAAAGCTGCTATCGAAGACGGTAAATCATGCCACCCCGTATAAAACCCGCTCTTGTCCGACAACTCCGATATTCTCCAGTCAGTCCGCGTCCCGTTCGATGCATAATAATATTATCTCCAAGCCGGAGCTTCTCGGTCACGAAAGCCTCGGCATCGGCTTCTCACTCACCCCCGAATTCTACCTCCGCTGATACCACGTTCACAACCGTTTCGCCCGATGAGGTCTCCCACTTCAACGCCCTCGCATCCTCGTGGTGGGATCCCCACGGACCGTCCCGCATCCTCCACTTGATGAACCCTCTGCGCCACGACTTCATTTGCTCATGTCGCTCTTCAGCCCTCGATGATCCACCCCCACCTTTCGATAACCTAAAATACTTGGATATAGGCTGTGGAGGAGGTATATTCGCCGAATCTGCTGCCCGATTACCTACGACCGCGTCCGTAACGGCCATAGACCCTAGCCCTGAGGTGCTATCTATTGCTAAAGCACATGCTAAGCGGGATCCTGCCTTGCAATCTAAGTTAACTTACATAAATACGCCTATCGAAAATCTGCCGGTTCCAGGTACGCCTCAGGACGGTTACGATATCGTGTCTATCTTTGAAGTTATAGAACATGTGTCGAACCCAGCCGACTTCCTTGATCGGTGTGCTCCCTTCGTCAAACCGGGAGGATGGTTGGTTCTTAGCACTATCGCAAGGACATGGCTTAGCTGGGTGACGACCAATCTCGTGGCGGAAGACTTGCTTCGTATAGTACCGAAAGGTACCCACGACTGGCAAAAGTACATCAATGAAGAAGAACTAAAAACCCACTTTCTCCAGAACAGGACAGAATGGACTGAGCCTAGATGTATGGGCGTAGTTTACGTTCCTGGTCTTGGTTGGAAGGAGGTGACTGGTAGTGAAAAGATTGGCAACTACTTTTTTGCCGTGAGAAAGGTCACCAAGGTGGTATAATTACTCCGGTGTTGGCTCAATCGTTACGTGAGCTTGAGACTATGGTGCTGCCTCCTATTCATACACCTACGTCTGATACACCTACGTCTGATAGCCAAAATTATGGTTATATGAACTCTACGATGGATTACTCTTATTCTTTTTGATTAAGAGTTTCGATCATGGGATGACCCCTTCCGGACCTATATCGATCACACCATTCCTCTCCAAATTACCACCATGCTGATGCGGGCTCCTCATTATCATCTTCCAATACGGCTGCTATTCGGCTCATTTGGGTTGTTACCTGCTCTTTCAAAGGAAACAGTAGTTTCATAATATTGCCAACGGGCCTAGTCCAACCAAATTCGAACTAATAACTCGTAAAAGTGCGTACAGTAGCAACCAAATATCTAGATACACCTGTACAACCCGTCTCACACATTTACTGATCGACGAATAAGTATTTCTCAAGGCTTACTACGTCCTTATCGAGGCTTGTCTGGTTATGGACCACTTGCGTGATAAGACCTACTCATGTTGGATGTCGTAATCCCGAATGTAACGCTATCTGCCAATAATAGGGAGGGATACTATAGATACCACCCGGAACAAAGCATCTACCCTACCTAAGCAGTTAAGAGAATCTCGAAGTAGTTGGCGTGTCTGTTTTAATGATTAAGGGTAGGCTTAAGTATGGATTTGGCTATACCGAATGCTCATCCCTTGTCGACGGTTATAGTGGATCTTCGAATGATACGTTATGGCAAAATGGACACGTCCAGAAATATTCCTCCATTTATTCTTCTAGTTTGAGCCTCATCTTGTTCTTGACTAATCGTCTAGAAAGGCTTGTAACACCCAAGTACCGCTCTGTCTACAACAATGGGGACATCTTCAACGTCAGGAGCCAACGACGAAAAGTCGACAACTTCCCCTGACGAAGTTGCATTGGGGAGAGGAGAAACTGTTCTCGCGAGTAACGGGAATATCATCGACGATGGCTTACAGCGCGGTCTGAAAAATCGCCACCTAGTCAGTAACTATCGCAATTCTATCGTGCGTAAATACTCAAAAGAATATAGCAAATGATCGCCTTCGGTGGCGTAGTAGGAGCTAGTATATGGTACGGGTCCGGCTCAGCGATCTCCTACAGCGGACCCGTCGGCGCTTTGGTATGCTTTCTCATCATCGGTATTGACGTCTTCTTCGTCATGCAGAGCCTAGGCGAGATGGCGACGCTCTTCCCCATCCAAGGCGCTTTCATTGAGCTCGCTGGCCGATTTGTCGACCCGGCACTAGCGTTCGCGCTTGGGGTTAATTATTGGTATGCCTGGGTGACAAATATCGCCAATGACTATAACAATATCTCGCTCATTATGGGGCTTTGGACCGATGCGGTACCGCCGTACGCTTGGATACTGATCTTTTGGGTTGGTTTTCAGTGTACCTCGCTCCTGGGCATTGTTGTTTACGGCGAGATGGAGTTCTGGCTCGCATGTTGGAAGCTTATCTGCGTCGTCGGTGGTTTCCTCGTCGCTATTCTTGTCAACACGGGAGCTATCGGTGGCGAGTACATTGGATTCAGATATTGGAGGGACCCCGGGGCGATCGCAAACGGGATCAACGGTTTCGGAAAGACTTTTGTCTTAGCCGCAGTTTATTACAGCGGCACTGAGATGCTGGCTCTGACCGCTGCCGAGAGCCGCAATCCGAAGAGGGACTTGCCTAAGGCGATCCGACAGACTTTTTGGCGCATATTAATCATTTTCCTGGGTTTGATCTTCTTTGCAGGAATCATCGTGCCGTACAATGATAGTTCGCTTTTAACGGCGACTAGCAAGTCCGCACAGTCCCCTTGGACGGTTGCTCTCGTGCATGCCGGTTGGGCGGGCGGCGGGAATCTAGTAAATGTCGTTATGATTACCGCGCAGCTATCTTCTGTCAATAGCGCCATCTATGTCGCCTCACGGAGCCTTGTAGCGCTTGCGGTCAACGGTCGTGCACCCGCCTTCTTCGCCCGGACGACAGCTAATGGGGTACCGGCTAACGCTATCATCTTCTCAAACGTGCTCGGTCTCCTGGCCTTGCTGAACATCGCTGCTACTCCTGGAAAAGTGTTCAGTTATCTAATTAGTATTTCTGGAGCTGCCACTTTCATCGCGTGGGCCTTCATAGGCGTCACGCACCTAAGACTACGCCAGGCCTGGGTGTTACAAGGCCACAGCATCGACGAGCTACCTTATCGGGCTTTCCTATATCCGTATGGTGCTTGGTTCGTTGTCCTACTGAATCTGTTTCTTGTTTTCATCTCCGGGTACGAGGTCTTCGTCGGGGGCTTCGCAGCGGTAGATTTCGTCTTCTCGTACGTCGTGATCGCGATATTCACGGTTTTGTACTTCGGTTGGAAGTTAGTGAAGAAGACCAAGATCATTCGATTAGCTGAGGCGGATCTCGTGAGTGGTAGAAGAGACTACTTGGTTCCGGAGGGGGAGAATGTTTTGGAGAAGCCGGGGGTTGCGTGGTATGTTGTGATCAAGAGGTTCATCTTTAGTTAAAGGTCTGAAATCAGTGCGACTAACAGCTGGAAATTGTTGTCTTTATACCGCAACCTAATGAGTGGCTAAATCGATTCATCATATCGCCAATGCAATCAGTGAACAAGAAGATAACCACGAAGTCTATAATGATACCAACTATTATAGACGATGATGACGGTAAGCGCCCGTTACGCTGCAACTTGCTTGACAAAAAAATGCATTCAATATTCTCACGTAGTATCCTCTCAATGTTATTCTATCCCCCCTGGATGGCATAAAGTAGTAACTATCCCTTGGCATGTCTTGGGATATTACTGATACTCATGTCTATTAACAGTCGGACAACATCATCATGTTGCCACTTGATTGCATAGTACAATTGTATCCGGTGCCTTTTATCCATAGATACAGCGTCCGCACATTGTTCAAGCAATTATTCGCGTGGTAGTAGTATGACCCCCTTCGGCAGCATAAGATAATGCTGTTCTTCCCTGATTATCCTTTAATTCAGTATTAGCGCTTCTCTCGAGCAGTAAACGAACCGCAGCATCACAGCCTTCTTCGGCAGCATACAATAGTGACGTCCTACCCGTGATGTCCCTTACTTGAATATTTGCGCCATGTTGTAACAAGACTTGTATGATGCAATAATTGTAAATTAGGATATCATACTTTCTCCTCAGCGTAACAGCATGGAATAGCGGGGTTTTGCCCTTGATGTCTGCTGCTTCAACATCGGCACCTTTCTCGAGTAGTAGGTTTACAATAATGATATGCCTGTTTTACACGACCTCCATTAGTGGTGTGTCAGATAGATATTCTGAGTTGACATTAGCACCGTTATCGAGTAGCAGCTTCGCTACTACATGGTGACCTTCTTGAGCCGCCCACATTAATGGTCATTGGTTATTATTCGTATCTTTCGATATCTAGACTTCCCATGCCTAATAGCTTCCTGGTGGCTACTTCGAGTCTAAGGTATGATGCATGCGTCAGTGCAGAGTAGAACTGTGGACATTCTATATGCAGAAACGCCCAAATCTTGTACCACAGAATTTTGGATTGGTTCGTCATTTGGAAAATGAGCTTGATGGTAATGGGTAGACTAATTTTGTGTTGAATATTCGAGGAAGGGTATGAATATGTTGTTGTCCTTCTTTCGTGATATCGACGTTGTCCTTCATAGCGTTGAAGACGAGATATACTCATAAGTATGTCCGATGGGAAACTTTGGTGATCTCCTGTCTTAAGACTTCCTTTTCATTTATTGACAGATCGACCCCAAGGTCAAGATTTCGGATATTATCCTCGATTAACACGTTGATATCTTGAGAAATTCCGTCTGCCTCATCTTCTCCACTCAAATGAATTGTAGTAGGGATACAGTTCTTTAAGCGTTCCAACCCGCGTCGAATAGTAGAATGCGGTCGGCTAGTTAAAAGGAACTTCAATACCCCCGTGTTACTATTTAGGTAATAATATGTCAATAATTACACTATTCGCGCTGCCCAAGTTGGGGTCGGGATGGAGTTGCTGGAGAGGCTATACGTCACTGTAATAAAGACTCTAATTAGAACTGGATCACTAACCATTGTGATTATTCGTTACCCATATCTAGGGGTAGTTTAGGTGCAATATAACAGGTAGGTACATATACTGGTAATGAATATAAATGATTCGGGTTTGAAAGCACCCAATGCGTTAGGAAATACCGGGCTTCCAGAATAACGGGGTAGGTAGCCGGGCAACAAGTAGAAAAGAGGTTATAGCCTTGGTGTAAGCTCAGCCTCAAAGCTCGTTGGCCATCTCTGAGCAAAACTGGAAAAGCCATAGCCCCATGGATGCCCTCACTGCCTCAAACTATAATGTCTCATAATACGACATGTGTAGAGGATATGCGCTTCGATACGGGCTACTATTGGCTATTGGTTATAGTACGCTACCGAAGCAAGCCTTGGACATTAAGCTGATTGGGCTTGAAATGCTAAATAACAAGGTTTGCTTCTTATTGTGCGGGTATTGGATACATACTCGATTTCAGCCTCACTAATATCCAGTGCACCTAGCTTCAATTATGGATATATATTCAAGCTTTGGTTAGCAACCATTCCATTGCTATCATGTACGCCAGCAGATTAACAGGTACTTCTCGCTTCCATATCGCCCCGGTGGGTTTACTGCTAGAATCTTTACTTACGATATTTAATCTCATGATCTTGATAACTTCCTTAGCCTCCCTCTGAATATACCTTGTCTATAAAACAGGGTCCGACTTTAAATTTACCTATTATGCACGTTTCACCAAAGGTAAAGCAGTCAAATAATCATTGACGATATAAGGTGAATAAACTTAAGAGGGTATCATCGAAGAGGCCGCGTCGAATCATAATTAAAGGTATCTAACAAGATCACTGGAACTTGGCGGGATTGCTGGGTATTAGTCTCCTCAGCACTTCGATCTGACGCGCTTGTGCCTTGTTCTTTAAATCCGTGACGCCACGCTTATCAGTCCGTCTCGTTCCATTCGAGTACACGACTGTAAAGTCTGGCACTATCTCCCAAGGCTGTATAACGCTGTGAGGCGTTAAAGTGCAGTGCTTTTCCACCGTTAACGCTCAACTTACCACAACAATATAAGACGAATATAAGATGAGCTCACCTTCCCTAGCCTCGCTCCCTTGCCTACTCTGCAGCCTACGCCAACCAGACATCCTTCGCCAATCAGTGTGCCGCCGGACTCGAGCACTGCGCCAACTTCGATAGTCACATAGTCGCTGACCATCACGCCGTCGCGTGACTCGCTAGGAGTCGGGTCTGCAGAGGTTGCCCCAATGCTTGTTCGTTCGTGGACGATACATCTCCGACCAATTGTGATTCGGCCATTAGAGGAATCTATCTTTGCTCGAGGATGTATGACCGTCTCCGAACTGATATTGATAGTGTGGTTCCCCGCCAGAAGAGCAGAATCAGCTATTGTGATTGATGAAGAGAAATTGACGGGAGCTTTCGGGCCGGACTGGACACGCGGGAGGATCGACTGGCGTTTAGAGGAGGACATCTTGCCCTCTAATGGGTTGTGTGGGGTAGAACATCAATGTGGAGGTGTTGATGCGCTCAAACTCATGGCAGCGTGGAGATAGGATTTGTTTGAAGATGAGGATTAATGATGGATAATAGCTATGTAGGTAGGTAGGTACCTTAGTAGATAGGCACTTCAAATACTTAAGGTAGGTTAGGTACTTATCAGTGATTATCTACATCCTAGATATGCATAAATTGAATATTGGCATTAAACATGACGCACTCCGATAAAGTGGCAGAAGATAAAGGCAAAGACCCGATGACCTCATTACTCAGCCATTCAGCCACAGTAAAAACCTTAGGTTAAGGCAATGATTGTATTGTATTGTACCTACCTAGCTCTGTAACCTAAAGGTTAGGTAGGTGATCGCCACAGACGGTAGGCCCGCCTCCAGATGTCCCGAACCAATCATAGGCCAGTAATTTCTATTCAAAGGCCTCACTTTGCTTTATCTTTTCCACGACAAAACCTACGAATCCCTCTCCATTGCCATCCGGCCTCTCCACTCCCTCTGCTCCATTGAGCAACCAAACCCCTTCAAGATGCTGTCTAGGACCACAGCGCCGTCGGCAGCGTCCGCGAAGGCCCTATCACGTGTCGCTCTACCGTCCTGCTCGAGATTACCGCAACAGTCCACGTCCCAGCAGAACCGAAGTTTCGCGACCGTCCAGGATGGAAGCCCGAAACGAACATATGGCGGTCTTAAAGACCAAGACCGCATCTTCCAGAACCTCTACGGCCGCTACCCTGCCGACCTAAAATCGGCCAAGAAGATGGGAGATTGGTACAAGACGAAAGAAATCATTCTAAAGGGCCACGACTGGATCATTGGTGAGGTCAAAGCTTCGGGTCTACGAGGTAGAGGAGGAGCTGGTTTCCCTTCTGGTTTAAAATGGGTATGTCGAATTATCACAATTCCCACCAGAAGATAATCGCTAATCACTGGCGCGACGCAGTCGTTTATGAACTTCAAAGATTGGGATAAGGACACGAAACCCCGATACCTGGTTGTCAACGCCGACGAAGGCGAACCTGGCACCTGCAAAGACCGAGAGATTATGCGAAAGGACCCCCACAAGCTTATCGAAGGCTGTCTAGTTGCCGGACGGGCTATGAATGCTAACGCTGCCTATATTTACATTCGTGGAGAGTTCATCCTTGAAGCTGCCGTCTTACAACGGGCCATCAACGAAGCTTACGCTGATGGATTAATCGGTAAAAACGCCTGCGGCTCCGGATACGACTTTGACGTATACTTACACCGCGGTGCTGGTGCGTACGTCTGTGGCGAGGAGACGTCATTGATCGAGTCTTTGGAGGGCAAACCCGGCAAGCCTCGTCTAAAGCCTCCGTTCCCGGCCGCTGTCGGTGTATTCGGTTGCCCATCTACCGTCGCCAATGTCGAAACTATTGCTGTAGCTCCTACGATTTGCAGGAGAGGAGGTAGCTGGTTTGCTTCTTTTGGCCGTGAGCGAAACCAAGGAACGAAGCTCTTCTGTATTTCCGGCCACGTCAACAATCCCGCGACCGTCGAGGAGGAGATGAGCATTCCCCTGCGTGAACTGATCGAGAAGCACTGCGGTGGCGTCAGGGGTGGTTGGGACAACCTGCTTGCCATTATTCCTGGTGGCTCGTCTACTCCCATTCTCCCTAAGAGTGTATGCGATGACCAACTAATGGACTTCGACGCTCTAAAGGACAGCCAATCTGGTCTCGGTACTGCTGCCGTCATTGTCATGGACAAGAGCGCCGATGTCGTCCGAGCCATATCCCGATTAAGTCATTTCTATCGACACGAGTCTTGTGGACAGTGCACACCGTGCCGTGAGGGTAGCAAGTGGACCGAACAAATAATGAGCCGCTTCGAGAAGGGAATAGGCCGCGAGCGGGAGATTGATATGTTGCAGGAGTTAACGAAACAAGTCGAAGGGCACACGATTTGCGGTAAGTCGTTATCACGATCTTTTGTTAATTTATCAAGAGCAATACTGATTTCTTAATAGCTCTTGGCGAGGCGTTTGCCTGGCCCATCCAGGGTCTTATCCGCCACTTCAGACCCGAGCTGCAGGCAAGAATGCAGAAGTATGCAGCGGAACACGGTGGTGCACAAGCTCTGGCTGGTGGATGGGAGCCTAATGCTCGAGCAGCAGGCAAGCTTATTGCCCCTGGCCAATAGACTTGAACGGATCACCTGTTATACTATAGTGCTAGATGGCGTAATACGAAAGGTTCGAGAAATACTCAGCCACGTTGTACACCACAAATACTCGTTACTTTGTACATATCCGCACAGAGGCAGCACTCAATTCCTAGATATTCCTAGGTACCTTCTAGTGACACTCAATTTCATCAAGTTGACCAAGCTTCATGTCCAAAACAGTTACACGAGTGCTCTTGGAATCCTCTAAAGGGATGTGACGAACATCAAGACCCGCTATCACGGATCTACTTACCCCCCCGCGACTTCTCGTCCGCACCTCTCCCACACATCCATACTTGTCAAGATCGTCGTTACGAACATAGCTAGACCGACGGTACCGGGGTCGGCTTTAACCCAGCCAACCACACTGCCCGGGAGGACGATGTCGAGAATGCTAGCCGTGGCACCGCGACCTAGCTTGTACACCTTAGTCGTGATCTCCTGCTTCGGCTCCTGCTTGCGCTTTTCCCGACTTGCCACTTTTTTCTCGGAAGAGGCTGCCTTTTCAGTTGGGGCGGGCGGCGCAGAAAAGAGCGTGAAGGATATTTCCAGGACGTTGTACACGGCGCTACAGACTAGAGAAAACAGCCAGAACCTCTGGCCCTCGACGGTAATAGTGCGTTCCCGCTCGGCTGTCCATATTGCTAGCCCAGGAACTTGCAGCGCGTCTACCATCGTGCTGGCTTCTAGTAGTAAGTACATACCCATGAATGTCTTTGAGAAGACGTCAATCCATGGGTGCACCTGGGCTAGGAATCCGCGCGGCGCGGCTCCTTTCTCGCCCTGGGCGGTGGAAAGCTTGGAGGAGAGCTTCTGCGCCGCGTTGAAGGAATCCAAAAATCGGAATAGCCGGAAGAAACGCCGGGCGAGTCCCAGACGCTGGTTAAGAGCCTTTAGGACGACGCGGGTTGCTGCAGGAGAGGGGGCTTTCTCTGTTGTGAGAATGAAGACTTGGAGGAGCACATTGAAGGGGAGGGTGAAGTTTGAGAGGATCTGTACGATAGATTGGAACAGGCGGAAGGTCCTCTCTAGACCGACTGTGGATTGGTGTTAGCAATTCAACGAAGAGATTTGTAGATTCGGTTCAAAAAGAAAAGGTTGTTGGTTCGTGGGATATAAAGGGCTATTTTCTGGGTTCGGCGACCAAGTCCACCAGAAATTACCAGAGAGGTCCCTTTGTCATAACCTCCTTGAAGCTGACCTTGCCCAAAATTTGAAGAGCTACATAACTAGAGTATTTAGTCCACCCCTTACAGAATCATATAACACTAACGTATAGTAGGGCATTATACTCCAAATCCTACCCTCATTGAGGTATAAGTCACATACGCGACAACATTCTCGCTAATGAGCCGTAGGCAAGCATTAGGGTCTCTCTAACCAAGCCCGACATGTATATCCAATATATTTCGCGATTTTCATTTGAATTAACTGATGACCGATCCAATTGGCCATAAACTAAAACGGGATCCCCTAGGTAGTCAAGAGCTACTTGACCCAGGTCACAGGCGTCTAGACAGCCCCTAGAGTATTTGTGCGACGGTCATGCTGAAAAGGAAATAATTTGGTCATACCTGAGTCGGTCGTGAATTTTATAAATTGTTCAAATGTCAGTGACATTTTAACGATATGGCCAGCTTCTATTTAGTCGAGCTGGATCTGGGGTTGGAGGTGAGTTGAAGAATAGGGGAAAGGGAAGATTTAGCTTCAAATAATACATTGTGGAAAAGGATACTTCTAGGTACCTGGTTACTCCGAGTACGGGCGGTCTGTTGGGTCGGCTTTACGGGAGCTAATGTACCTACGGACCCGCACCTGCCGCGGAGAGATATGTAAGGTTCTCCTTCACATGGACTCGCGTATGTACGTTATGTAATATATACATGTAATAAAGTAGTTATTACGTCGCTTACATGATCCTCTTGAACTGTAAGATCTAAAGTCATATGTTTATAGGGGAGTCACATGCTTAATTCCCATATATATTTCTTAAGTGTTCGAATTAATGCAGTTTTAAGCAAACGTATGCGGACCCTAGCAACACGAATATCCAAGACGGTCAGCTTCATAGAAAGCCCAGCTTCCCCTCCTAAGCAGAGAGAAGTTTAGTTGCTCTACCGCACATTGAGATAATAACCTTAGAAAATATATAATATTTTCTACAAATAGGCTATAACGCTGTAGCATCAAGTTGAAACCCGAGGCCAATCGTTGTAGAATTCATCAACTGTTTTGTAGTGTCCATAATTTACAAACCTACTACGATCATTTCCAGCGAAGGGCTTTTCCTGGGCAATCCGTGTGATTACGTCCTATTAAACTATTAGTAAACTTGAGGCTTAAATTATATCTATCCGACCTACTGGATTATAGATAAATGCCCGGCCAAATGTGACAAGGTCAATCTTGCCCTCATCCAGTAGCGTTTCGGCTTCCTCGACAGTATAGTGGTGACTCACCATCAACATCGTCTCGCTACCAGGATACTTAATCAGATGTCCATATTGTTGAAGGGGTTCCCAATTATTCGGTAGCTCAAAGCCCTCTGGACGGTATTGGATACCGTGCCATCGTTCAGGGTAGCAACCACGGCGGACAATATTGATAAACGCTAATCTCCGTTGGACGAGCTGAGGGATAAGGTAGTCGTATGTTTCTGTAAGCTCTGCATAAGACATTATAGAGTCATTAATGTCATCGGATGCGCAGATCTTAATTCCAACATGCCGTGGACCCCAGATATCGATAATAGTATCCAAGACTTCTAGAGGGAATCGACATCGGTTCTCAACCGAGCCTCCATAAGCACCTGTGCGGTTGTTTGCACGTCTATTACACGTTAATTATGATAGGCATACTGGTGAGAGTATCACCCGCAATATCATAAAGGTCATGCAGTTATATGTGATAACAACCAACATGTATTATCGTATCTTGACCAGGCCCCAAGATACGTATTCCAGAATGTCTACAAATAGGATCTGAGTCCGCCCCTTCGAAGAAAGGGAAGGAACCAAGGACCTTGAGACCCTTGTGATTTATTAGTAAATTGAATATACGTTCCAAGCCCATACAGCCCTTGTTATACTTCATTTCATCATGTTTAAACAATCTTATAACTAGGCTAAAGACATAAATACAATTAGTAATATCTAACTAATTTTTGTTTTGTTTAATAGTTATATATAATTAAGAAGTTTTTATATTAATCAGGTACATTTTACCTTAGGTAACTGACATGACGAGAAGTATCTATTTCTTAACCCTAACTACATACCTAGGTAGGTACCTACATACATGTATAATCTTTGCTTGACGGCATCCGGTTTGTAATACTAAATGTTCTTGCTAAAGGAAAAGTGGAGACGGCATGCATTATCTTATCGATAAATAGTACGTGCCTCGCGGTGAGCAAAAAGTCAATGGCAGAAAGGTGGGCCTTCGTCGTGTTCCACAAAATTTTTCTTCAGCAACAGCAACCAGAAGCTCTAGTCGTAATTCTTCCCACCTTGAGGTCAATTAGGAAAATCAGGAAGAGCAACCTGCCTTCTTTTTGGCAGGAAGGTTCTACCACTGGCGACTTGCCTGTTTATGTTAATCTAAGGTTATGTCCGGCAACCCGCGCACTCAACCTCTTTCTACATCCTCTCAAGGCCCCCCAAATTGGTTGTTCAGCAACAATTCTAATAACTCTTCTGCATCCGTACTATTAAACAGTACGGCACCAGCAATGGCAAAGAAGAATCAAAAGGCTGCTAAGGCGGCTAAGGCGGCAGTCGCGCCTACAGCAGCAGCAGCATCCACCAGCCAGGACCAAGCTCCTCCCAACCAACTTATGGACTTAGTCGAGTCGTTCTTGTCCGATCAAGGATTCGATAATGCTCATCGTGAGTTTCAGAAGCATAGAGCAAAGAAAGGTTGGAAGGGACAGAGTGCTAGCAAACAGAAGAACAAGGCACATCATTCCCTAGTCAGCGTATTCCAGACGTGGGAGACATTCTCAAGTCAGGCAAATACACCCATTATCCCTAAGGAAGATCCCATGCGGAAGATCACCAAGGTCAGCAGCAGCAGCAGCGAAAGCGATAGCAGTGACGACTCGAGCTCGGAAAGCTCTGGTGATAGCGACAGCGATAGCGATGATTCTAAGGATATTGCTATGGCCGATGCGCCTGTTGATGATGAATCCAGCTCTTCTGAGAGTTCCAGCTCCGACGATAGCGATAGCGATAGCGACGGCGATAGCGACGGCGATAGCGATGGCGACGGCGACGGCGAAAGTGAGAGCGATGACGAGAAGGAAAAATCGAAGAAATCAGCTGCCGGTACAGCTACAAATGGCAAAAACCCGTTGAAACGAAAGGCAGTTTCCGAAAGCTCGAGCTCCTCTGACGCCGATTCCGACATGTCGGACTCGAGCTCGGAGGATGAACGCCCACAGACCAAGAAGGCCAAAACTAAGGCGAGCTCTGATGATAGTTCATCATCATCCTCTTCTGAATCTTCTGACAACGAGAGCTCCGACGACGAAGATGAAGATGATGCCAAGAAAGTCAAGCAGCCCCAAGTCGACGATGAGTCCTCCAGTTCTGAATCGGAGTCTGACTCATCGGACTCTGAATCTGATGAAGAACCGAAAGTGGATCTGAAAGCCGCAGCAGCAGTGCCACTACCTGAATCTGATTCTTCTTCCAGTGATTCCGACTCGGAGTCAGAGGATGAAAAGCCGCAGCGACCTAGCAAAGGAGCGGTTCCGAACGGCGCTGGGTCAGATACCTCCGTGACTCTGGACAAAGCCTCACCTGAGTTTTCATCTGCATCTTTCCCTCCGCTTCCGCCTGACCCTGTCGCATCAAAACTGAACAACCGGGGTAAGAACGGAGCCAAGACGCAGAACCAACCTTTTTCCCGGATTCGGAAGGACGTTGCCATTGACCCAAGATTGTCGTCCAATGCTTATGTTTCGCATGACTATGGCGACAAGGCCCACCAGGACCTTATCGTGACCAAGGGCAAGGGCTTCACCAAGGAAAAGAATAAGAAGAAGCGGGGAAGTTACAAGGGTGGTCCTCTAGATATCAACAAAAGCCGAAGCATTAAGTTCGATGATTAGAATACACGGATTAATACCGAGCTGATCAATAGATCTCCCAAGATTACGAACAAGGGGAAGCAAGTTATGGACCAAGCGAAAACCCCTCGGACCTCTAAGAAGGATACCATCTACAAAGCTACTGCCAACAAGCTTAATCACGACCCTAAAAAGGCGACGAAACGTGTTCATTTCGATTGATTCACACTAGGCACAGCATCCGTGCTCTCGAGGGTAGGCTTACTTGTGTTTATCAAGCATACCTCCCTAAAGAATACTCGTATTTTTTTTTGTGCAACAGCTCTTCCGAAGAGCCTGTCTATTGTAAAAAGGCGAATACATTGGACATTGGTTTCAGGTCGACCTATAAAGTGGAAAGGAGCCTAATAAATAGGATTGGCTATTGTCTAGGTAGCTACTATAGATAGCATGTTATTTAATACCCTCTGGTAAACTGCTTTGCCTCTTGTATAGTTCCATCATCCCCTGCTTCTTGACAGGTTTAACAGAATTCTCTCAGAATTTCAAAATTAAAGCATATGTCGTCCTAAGAATAAAATCTACCTTGCTCCTGGTCCTTTTACATTGTTCTAGGTGACATGTCAAGAGTTCATTGGGTACCCCTGGAAGGAAAATAGGGTAGGAGTGGACTAACTGAGATTCCAGCTCTGTCGTTCCAGGGTTCTAACAAATCCATTCAGACGATTTCTGCAGCGGGATCTCGTCATCTCGTCATCTCGTCATGTTGTCATTTTGGGCATAGCTTAGAATTAACTTCCGATGTAGAATAATTTAGTTCTACCCCGAGGCTGATTGCTCAAATTACCAGTGTTGCCTAAAAGTCGACTCGCTTTCGTTCAAGCAACTGGAGGTATCAAACTACCTAACGCCGTAAATGTGGGGCCGGTAGAATAGCACCGCCTCTTGAAGCGATAGTTATACATAAATAAACAATACCAATTTTCACGAGCGGTTCCATATGAGCGGTGAGGCCGCACGATACTATACTTTTCTCCGAGGCCTGTATGAAATGATTACTGTAGCGTAGGGAAAGGCAGATCGCTGGATCTTTGTATGTTGTTGAGTTGTGACAGACAAGGGTTCCTAGGAAGTGGAATCCAGGTTAAGGGGATTTTCTTGGGTTCCATGTTTTCTATACGGTTGTTTGTAGGTTTATAATTTTCGACCAAGGCTGACATGCCTACAACGTTTGGTTTTCTAGTTATGAGCCCGCGGCTGTGTGTATGGTTAAATGCTTTAATCTCGTGCAGTTGGATTAGTCCTTTAGGATGTATGTAAGCTCGGATTTAAACGGATGACGCCTTAACCCCTTTTGGTGAGATAAGATGGCAGGATTCTTGTAGAAAATTGTAGAGCTCCTAATAGCTATAGTCCGCTATCATCTGATAAGGTACTCATATCGTGACTGAATTATGGCTTCTCTTGATCTACCACATGCGATGTGCTCTGTGTGACTGTGGCTGGACAGGCGGATAATCGAGTCAAAAGCGCTCGGCCGACTGATCTCGTTTGTTGAGCGGGTCGAAGGCTACTGCTGTATAGAAATGCCAATAATAATCTCTTGAATTAGCATAACCAGAATATCGTGGAAGATCTTCTGGGGTCAGCCGTATAAGATAGGGGTATACGCTGGAATTTGTGGTACGCCTATCCATCTAGCTCAGCAAACACGACATCGAACAGCCAGAAACCAGGTTTGCTACCGTTGAAGTGATCGCTTAGGTTTGAAGATAGCCATCTTAATCCTATACGTTGTCAAATGCAGATCCTTCGAGTAGCTTCGTTAGGCTCACTAGACTGATCATGTTTCCTTTAGCGCCCTTAAGTCCTAGGAGAAAGGAGGCATAGACGTGGTATAGCAAATGCATGGTAGCGGCGAGAGTAGGAAATAGAGATAAATGATAGCATGATGCTTGATAGTCTAGACATTTAACAACAATGGGTGGTATGTGGCGCAGTCTTCTGCGACTAAATGATCCAAGTTTTGACAATATTCGGAAAGAATAGATCAAAGATATCATGAGACTAATAGGTCATTTTGGTCGTTGGCGGCCCTTAGTTGTGGTGGTATCTTGTCATATTGAAGGTCACTGAGCAATAATACTGTTGTCGAGAATCGAGATACTTCATTGAATCTTCATTGTATCGACGATACTAAGGATAGTCGCCTTTAGAATAACGTTGGCATTACTCGGTCGTTCATATCACTACGATAGTGCTCGTCAGGACAACCTGAGTGGAATGATAAGTTCGATTTAAGGGGAGTTTGTTGTTCTAAAGTAAGATTAGTCAATAGTCAAGTGAGGCAGCAATAGTGAATATACGGTGGATATAGCCTAACGTAGGTAATTTTCCACTTAGTCCATCCTACTGGCTAGATAACTGTATGACTCGTACAGAACACAGCTGGTAATTTATATCGAATTTGTGGCGGAGTAAAACATAAAGGGCTAATAGGCCAGACAAACGCACGATATCTATTTACGTGGTACGGGGATGATCATATTATTTTGTGACAATTCATAGAAGTATTTGTCTCTTACAAACATCAGGTTATATGGGTACATATTTAAGCAAGCAAAGGAGGAAGTGTTTGCTATAGCTGAATTAGTCTGTAACGATTAGGTATAATAAGAAGTAGTGAATTATAAGCTGTAGGAAATTAACCATCGGAGTTTCAGGGATGAGATGACGAGCAACATGGAGAAGTACCTTAGTAACCTACCTACATTACTACCTATATTAGGTACCTAGGTCAGCCTACCTGTCTGCCGTAGCTTATAGGTACATGGGTTAGGTACATTAGGTACATCTACTAGTGCACCCTCCTACCCAATGTAACATTTAGCGCCACACGCTACATTATCTTAGGTAATCTACCTATCTACATGTAGATTAGAGCCCTTCTTGTCCTGCCTTCGGGAATGTAATTGAGATCTCCACGCGACACTTTAATGCATTCCACTCACTCAGCTGCACCGAGAGAGTGACTACCTACATAAAGTTACAGTAGCGTCCATATATCTACTAGACAAATTCAGCCATCCCCGACTTTCCTTCACCCTTAATAGCTAGCATTCACTATATGCGCTTATGTGTCTAGGTAATCTTCGCAGTCTATATAAAGACGGCAGTGCCGACCAACATGAGATGCCTATGAACAACTCCACACAAAAACCTTCTAGGCTCCTCCAGCTGTGCAAGACGATTGTCAAAATGACGGAGGATCTCGTGCAGTCAACCCGCCGGGGCCGGGGTGGGGCTCAGGTCGAACTACATTTTCTGGATAATATGATGAAGCTTGCCTGCTCTGACGAGATAGAGGCAAATAAAGCTCTACTAAGGGGGAGAGAGGCCGATGAGCGTTGGTATAAATACAATGGAAAACAGTTCGCTGAAGACCATTTTTCTCGAAATGTCCACATCATCGACAAAACTCGGCTGTTGAAGGCAGCACGCTCTCTACCTAAAGGCGCACATCTTCATCTTCATTTTAATTCCACTCTCCTCCCCGAATTCCTCTTGGGTATAGCCAAAGAAATGCCCAATATGTATATCTCGAGTCCCACTCACAAATTACGATCAAAATCTGATTTCGACAATTGTGAGATCGTATTCACGCTCCAGAGTACGAAGACGATTCTTGATGACCCAGACGCCGGCCCCATGCTTGAAGAGCAGAAACTATCTTCCAAGGATCTGAAAGGCCCAAATCTATTCCACGACGATTATGAGCCGCGCCAGCTTATGCGCTACCGATACTTCCGTTCTGTATGGGACGAGGAACGGGAAACCAGGCAAAGTTATATATCACAAAATCAAGAGCAGGCTGGCCAGGCTGAGTCTGAGCTGTGGAATATGGATATAAAATGTGACGATTGGCTTACTAGTAAACTCATCTTCCATAAGAAGCAAATCGACGAAATATTCAACCCGGGAGATAAGCCTTCAGAGCAGGCAAGCAAGCTCGAGACAAAAGAGGAGGAACAGGCAAGACAAAAGCAAGCCGAAAATGCAAAGTGGCCTAAGGATATCGACTTAGATATCCAAAATAGTGAATACAAAGATGTTCGCGAGAGAGCAGCAAGGTATTGTGCACTCGACGTTATCGCTGTGAACTGGCTAACAGATCCGTAGAGCATGGGAGAAATTCAATGGTCGTACAAGAATGATGAAGGGTCTATTTAATTATGAAAAGGCGTTCCGGGCATATACGAGGAAATGCTTGGAAGAATTTATTAGGGATAATGTTCAATACGCCGAGATCCGTCCAAATTTCATGAAAAGCAACCAGGTTTTACGAGATGATGGGTCAGAGGGTTTCAATAACTTCGGCTTGATGGAAATCATCATTGAAGAATATGAAAATTTTATGAAAGATATCGGAGATATGGACGAGTATGGGCAGATTAAAGAGAATAGGAAATTGGATTCGGATGGCAAGTTAGTATACTCAGACAACACCAGAATACCATGCGGAAATGGCCATACCCCATCCCTCGGCGGGATGAAGGTTATCTACTGCACGCCTAGGTCTTTCCCGAAACCTATGGTAAAGGAAGCATTAGATGAATGTATACAGATGAAGAAGAGATGGCCGCAATATATAGCCGGCTTCGATCTAGTAGGAGAAGAGGCCTACGATAAGAAATATCCACTACGATATTTCGAGGAAGAATTCAGGCAATTTCAGGAGGACTGCCGGAAAGAGCAGGTTGAGATTCCATTTCTATTCCACTGCGGTGAGACCCCTGACGACATCGAAGGCAACCTCGAATGCGCGCTCGATCTCAATGCCAGACGAATTGGACATGGTTATGCATTGCCACAAAAGCCAGATATTATGAAGCAAATGAAGGACAATGATGTCTGTGTAGAGGCATGTCCTATCTCGAACATGGTTCTCGGATTAGTGGAGCGTATGGACGAGCACCGGATTTACGAGCTACTCAAGCATGAAGTTCATTGCACATTAAACAGCGACAATGGTACCCTTTTTAGGTGAGTCTCTACTATCCCGCAATTTAGAACACTTAGTCTTACATTATTACTTCAGGTCTACATTATCACATGATTTTTATGAAGTCATGGTTGGCAATCGCAGTATGAATTTGTTTGGCTGGCGTCAACTTGCGAGATGGAGCATAGACCATGCTTGCATGAACCAAGTTGAACGTGAGCGGGTCTTGGTAGAATGGGAGAGGCGATGGAAAGAAGAATTTATTCCTCAGATTCTTGGGAAACAGTCTACTAGTCGTCTAGTGAGGCTCGATAGATTAGATCGGATCGAGGAGGGTCGGAAAAGGCGGGAGGCTAAGCTTAATTTAGAAGTGTGATAACCGCTTTATAGATTGGGCGTGTTTGGGGCGGGGTTTAGGCGATGGGGCAGATATTCACGATTTTGATACCCGATATGACAAGGTGTTTGGTGGCGTTCATCTTGTTACGCCTGGAATCAAGAACATGAGCACTACCTAGGCTTTTCTCTTACTAAGTTAAGGGAGTTCGTATTAGGTTTCGTATTAGGTCTTTATGGATTTTCTTCTTTTTCTACTATGAATTTACGAGCTACTAAATAACTAAGTAATAGGCGATCTCGGGATTATCAGCCGCATGAACGTTCACCGATTTAATTATCGCAAACTGCCTGCTTTCTGCCTACTGCCTACTGCCTATTGCCTATTGCCTATTGCCTATTGCCTCTATGAAATGCTTATCCTATAATATTATCCAGTAGTTATGCGCGTGCTGCAGGTGGCCGCAGAGGTTGCCTCCACGGGAAACACAACATCGAGGCGATGAATAATATATATGAATAATATATAGAGATGCGTCTCAAACAAAGGAGGCTCTGACCGGTCAAGTGAAGTTGTAAGAGCTACTGGAGAGTCTTGGCACCGTTAAACTTCCACTATCCGATGCGTGCCAGCGCATTGGACAGTAGGCGGGCCGTAGCGTTAAATGTTACGCCGAAGACCCTGGAACTTAGCGCACGTTAGTCCAGAACCAAAGAAAGCTGGAGTGGGGCTCACGAGGTCAGCCAATCAAAGGAGCAGGTTATCCCAAGCAGGCAAGGATCACCCCAACTCCAATATCTTTCGAAACTTGGGAGACCATGAACGATTATTTTATTTTCAGCCTCAAACAGCTTTTTCTCTTTTCCATCCCATTGTACCATAGTTACTATTTTTAAAGGTCGGTGTCTTGCCGCCTTGTTCTGTATATTTATATATATCATAATTGTTATACAAATGTAGTCGTTTTTTAGCAGCATACCTACCTAGGTACACTTTCTATTTCCATCAGACGCGTCGTTTCAACTCAATTAACTCCAACGATCCAACCTTTGGTAGTTCAAACCCGCAAACCCGCAAATCTACCCACGCTTACAGTTCGAATCTACCCGCCTGCCAGCCGACTGAAACTCACTAAACGCCCGTCAAAAGTATAATGATGGCCGACGACGGAGATGGTGTTATCAGGTCTGCGGCAGCCAACTGGTTTTCTTCCGATGTCCAGGGTGCCGAGGGGCCTGGAGGTTGGCGCCTTGATGTTGTAACCCTACTTGCCGTCATCGGCGAGTCGTCCATAGCAGAACATTGCCAGACTATTACTGCTAGTATCTTCTGCCTCCTCCCGCGCATTATCCCTGCCCCGCAGGCTTTCCTAAAGCCTTCTCGGCCTGGTCGCTTGCCCGAGGCCACGGCAAAAATGACCGGCGTCTACAGCGGTGTTGTTCTCGATACGGTGGGATTCTTTGCTAATATCATTCATCCCCTTGACGAGCTGCAACCGTTTGCTTTCCGAGTCCTACAAATCACCCATACCGACCGCAATAACGTCGGTGGCATTGAGGTCCCTATCCCACTCAATAACAGAACGAGCTTCCTTCAAAGCATACGTTCAAATGGAAGGACTACCAATCCATCACACGAACTCCGTACTCTACCGCGTAGTCCTCCTCCTGAAGACCGCAATACACGTATACCAAACGAGCCGATAGGCACAGGATACAGCAATGATGTTGAGGCCGGCCCAACACCAGGCGTACACAGGCGGGCAACAATGAGAGAAAACATTCAGGACTTTGTAGCCAATCCAACGCTTGCCAACAATAAAAAACGACCGGCAATCCCTGCCACCCTATATTCCCCTGTGCATGTCCTCTCGTTCTTTTCTCTTTTATTGACATGCGGTATCATTGCCCTCGCAGCAGTACTCGAGGATGGGACAGCAATTCTTGCCGTCGCCCTCATTTCCTTTGCAAGCTCCATTGTTGGCTGGGCTTCGTGGTGGAGGCCCATCCTAATGAATCGCAGTCACACCAATACTGTCCCTGCTGGAGACGTGATAATCCGTACGCGTGAGGGTGCATTCCTCCTTATCAAGTGCACCGAAGAAGTTGCGCGCGAGCTTTATTCGGGCACTGAAGAGTGCGAATACCACGTTAGCGGACGCGCATATAGAGTGCTTATGGGGCTTGGAACCTGCTTGTTGATGGTGGCTGTCATCCTCTTGGGCAACTGCAAGTGGTATTCTCAGGTTTTCATCGGTGTTAGTTATATCGTATTGAATGGACTATACTGGACTATGGGGTTGATCCCAAAGCGCTTCTTCTGGGACTTAAGCCGCTATGACATTAGAGATATAACTCCTACAATCTCACGAAATGCCCATACGCAAACATCTAATGACCCGCGGGAAGGGGTTAAAAGCTACACGCGTACTCTATGGTATGCGATCCGCGAAACCAAGCGTACAGCTTGGGTTAATAGGAGTGGCGCGGCCCCTGACACACCACAATGGCGCAAGTGGCTCGCGGAGGCTGAAGATGCAGCAATCTCGAATAACACGGACTGGCCTTCTGTTGCTCGGAAGGACGTGATTATGAGGATGACAGAGAGCCAACTTAATGATAGAGAGACTTCGGCGTCCGAACCGACTCGAATATTTGACCAGGCAGAGCAAGCTGCACCGGCCACTCAGATACAACCTCGAGATCGACGCCCTGCCGACGGCACTCTATAGACAATTTTACCCCAGGCTTGGGCCTCCGCCCTTATCTTATATGGAAAATAATGTGTTGGATACCCCCTTATATGAGCGAGCGAATTTGAGATATCGAGATTATTGTGATTTCATCTGATTTATGAGGCTCTGGGAGATTGCTATTGAGCCAAGGTATGAAGATTAATAACGACTAATGATTTTTTTCTTTTTTTAATTTTTAATTTACCCCTGCTGCATAGGTACGCATATTATATTTGTATATTACTAGATTTTGCATCGGTTAGAGGAGCATGTTGATACTGGCTCTTGCATTGGGCATAAAGAACCAAAAGGACAAAGCTCGAACTTTATTGGATATATTTCCCTCTAGGTAGGAAGAGGGGACATTGTTATTTCAGCGAGGAGTTTTGGTGTCTAATAATAGGCGATTGCTAGCTTGCTCGTCATTACTAAGTAAGGCCATAATTGATATTTGGATACTGTATTTTTAAGGCCCCTTGATACGTTAATTCGCTGCGAATGGAGAAGTATTATGGGATGATGGGTGGGCTGAAAGGTAAATCCCATGCTATGATGATAGTATTCACTATGTTAACTAGAGCTATGACAACTTGTTAGATATGCTGTTCAAGTTGGATTCTTATTAACCCCTTTTCTAGTATAGAGCTGGTCGAGACAATTTAGTCACTATATAGTTGAGGACTCGAAAAGTGGTGGTTTGGCTATTATGTATTTAACTAAGTTCGGTACTTAATATTATCAACAGCTCTTCCCTAACCTAGCGAGAGATACCTGGCAAAAGTTAATGCTGCTGTCCTAGAATGCATATAGCGAATTAAGAAACTGATGTGGACTGCTTGTTAGCCACTGAGACACGATAAAGGGCTTGTGGATACCTTAGGTATTTATACAATCACCCAATTTGCGTTGACTTAGTTCATCAGAGAAGTCTACGATTAATAGTGACTAGCCTGTGATCATAAGGTATCTCTTTATTGTATATTTAAATTCCTAGTAAATGAAAGTAATATCATCGTGGCCTAATCATGGAGAAGTTTGAAGAGAAGAGAAGCATGACTAATGTGAGCTCGTTAAGGTCATCTCATGAAATCGTAGAGCCGTTGAAGCCATCCTATATCCACCCCTTTACTATCTTCTCGATTCAAGCCACCTGCACCCGTCACTATATAGAGTCGCGTATATTATATATTCCACTTTATGGCCTCTAGGGCACTGTCTCCGTACTTACTGGAGGTTGTTTGGAGCACCATGTTGAATATTGGGGTCCTCAGCGCTGTGGGAGATCGGTATCGATGTTAGGTTTAGGCCTGTGGTTTCTGCTATCGCTTGTCCGGCGACTGGATATGCTTCCGAACGCCAGCCCTGATATGGTGGTACGGTTCCCTGTCCGGGTATCGACTGGGCGAAGCGAGGATCGCTAGATATGCCAGACCATTGGCCTTGAGGATAGTATTGCGGTCGAGGAAGTTCAGGCGGGTGGGCGGATGACCCTTCTGGCGACACTGACTGCGTATGTCTGGGATATTGCTGAGTGGCTCCATATCCAGAAGATGCATGTGGTGCTTGAAGGAAGGGGTTGTCTGACTGGTATCCATGGCTTGAATACCCCGTTCCTGATGAAGGGCTTGGATTCCTATATGCAGGCCCAGGCGGATTGTAGGGGGCTCCGCTATGGTGCTCAAAAATGAATATGTCTGCGTGGTTGGGGGTGGCCTGTCTGGGATTCTGGTTCTGTAGTCTTTCTTGAGGGGCTGAATTGCCTCCTCTTGAAACCCTCTCATTCATCATAGAGTCAAATACTTGCTCGATAGCCCGAATACCCAACTCCTTAGCGTGAGTTTCTTGATCAGTGCCATGGATAGCCTTAAGATACTTGACGAACTCAAGGTAGGCGTCCGAGACCGTTTCAATATTTGAGTGTTTAAGGTGTACCTTGGCCTGTGATTTGAATTTGAGGTCGAATCTCTTATCTTTTGGTAAGGCCTCAAATTCAGATAATAGGGCTAAGGCCGTCTGGCAGGCATTTCGAATTTGTCGTCCATTCCACCGAGCCTGCTGATTTTCCACCCAGAACTTTGTAACAAAGCTGTAGATGCCAGAGTCATCAATATCAATAGGTCGCCCATTCTCCTTGTACCTATCCCGAATCAAGTCAAAGTTAAGCTTGAAGATCCGGTTGGTGGCAATTTCATCCAGAGGTGGATAATAAAGACTCATGTGAATCCAAGAAATAAATGCTTCGTCGAAATCGCCAATTCGGTTCGTAGTTAGGAACAAGATTCCGGCATAATACTCTAGTACACGTAGAAAAATTCAAGACGCATAATAAGTGTCAGCAGGTATCTTGTAAGTTAAGGGCCTAATAAACTTGTGTTAGGACGTCCACTTACCGGCAACCAGCCCGTTCCTCGTGAAATCATCTCTTATTCTCGATGCAAGAAAAATATCAGCCTCGTCAAGGAGAAGAATACAACCCCAGCGATTGGCTAAAGAGAAATTAATTGATAATGCATTTTCGACTTCCTATGGAGGAGTATAATCAAGCCCTTTCCTATGAAATTCATAGTCAGATATCAAGGTCGAAAGAGTGAATCTTCAAGATAGTACCAATATTCTCTCACCTTTGCCGCGAACGATGTCAAGTTGCTCATCTGCGTTTTGTTGAGACTCCTCGTTTCGGAAGTGCTGTGCAATCAAAGAAAGAACCATGTCTTTGATCTTTTGGTGAAGCACGGGTCGGTTAAACGCGCTTTCATCATCTTCGTTCGCATTGTCACTAGTTGCGTGGTCATTGCCTGCGGCAGTGACCTCAGTGAGATGTGCCAGATCTAGTTGGGCTAAAGTAATGTCAGTCTATATATTAAGGGGATTGTAATATCCTGGTGCGGCAGGAAGCTTAAAGCAACCGAAGAAATTCACCCCATATGCGATCATACAAAACGAATCCGAAAACACAGTAGGACATAATCAATAACTCGTCGTCAGTGAAGCCATTGCCATCGGCCTTAACATCTTCTAAGGACCTTGGATAGACGATAGTCGACGGTAGTTTTTGTGGGTTCTCTTCCCTCAAGGCCAGTGTGTCCCGGACAAAGTTGAGATGACGATCATTTTCCACGTATTATGTATCATCTATCACATGTTCTCCGATACAGCAAGTGGAACAGCCATCCTCCTTTGGTTTCCTTTTTTGCCTTCTCCTTTTCTTCTCTCCCAACCCAAGGTTTTCATCTACGTTAGGGCCCGAAAATGTCACCTTGTCACAGTTTACGCTCTTGAGGTAGGTGTATTTCTGCGAAATACGAGTATCAATGAATTCCAGGAGACACCCGAGGTGCTGTAGTCCTATTTATGAAGTACTATAGCCTTTTGAATCCTCGAACGTCCCGGGCTTTCCTTCAGTGTTCTGTGCTGCTGTCTCTGGATCTCTTGAATCTGGTTTACCTTGTCGCTTTACGTCGTCGTTTTCCTTGGTCTCCTTAGCTGTAGACATAATTTGTGGTGCCGGATTAGTTTTAGTCGTAATTTTGGACTTTAACTCCTCATGCCGTCAACGAAGTTCCTCTTGATAATATCATAGCATCCTAAAAGGTCGTAGCATCACAGAGGACAGGAAATCGGCATTATCTACTTCTGACCCCCTAATAAGGGAAAGGATTTTCATAAGTGGCTTTGAATGTATTCTGATTCGCTCTGGGAGACTCTTGGCCCGTAAAGCTTCCGACTTTTGTAGTTGATAGTTCTGTTGGCTTCGCCCGTGGTCGCATATTATAATAAATGCGCTGAAATGACTTAGAATTGGCCGAAACTTCTGGTTCCCCGATAAGGATGTCTATAACGGAAGACTCTTCGGGTACTACATTACGTGTCGCTCTAAAACCTGCCCATTCGAAGAAGCTTAGTTACGATAACGCATATTTATCCATATATGTAGTATTCTTATTAATTCCAGCTTCTCGCCTCTTCTCATCTCTCTTCTTCATATGCTTCTGATATCGCTCTCTCTCTGGGCCGCAAGACGGTCCAGCTCCCACTCGAAATCCGCTCGTAGTCTCGCTTGGAAGTAGCCGAGGTCTTGAGACTTTGTGGACGTATCAGTGCTCCGTTCTTCGCTATCTGACGTGTCCCATTGGTTTGGTGGGCCAAGCCCACGGGAATAGACTGGCCTGAGAGATGCTGGTGTTGGAACAACTCTGCCCTTAAGAAGATTGTCCACTTATATGTCCACGTCCCTATGAGACAATGCATTATCATAACCTTGATGCGTGTTAGCATCGTGATTGAATAGCTAAGCTAAATCCTGACCTGATTTGACATCCCCACGCACTTGGTGCATACCAATACCAAAGTTTAGACTTCGCTTATGAGGTGGCGGCTTTTCCCTATTACTTTCCTCTTCTACTTTCTCCCCGGATTTCTGGACAAAACGAGCACGCTTGATAAGTTTACGTATCGTTTTATCGAGGTTCTCTGATGTTGTGCCTGTTTGACTGCCAAGCCCTTTCTCATCCTTGACTTCGGGCAGCTGGTTGACACTATCCAACCCAGAGTATTGTTCCACTGAGTCCAGCATCTTCAATTTCTGTCGTAACTCTTTTTCTAAGCGCTTTACTTCAGAAACCAAGTTTAACCTCGTAGTATCTATCTTCGGGTCTGGTAAACTTTGCTCGGATTTGAGATCCTTAGGTAAAGACGCAGAGGCTTCTGTAGAAGGCGGGTCGTTGTGTTCTTCATTGGTAGACGCACTTTGAAATGGCCTTTGTTGGTTCTCGTCAACCAATTCATTGGCTGTTGCTGCTAATGTAGGAGCTAGACTTTTGTTCTCCATCTCTTCTAGGCTATACGATTCTATTCTGAGTTATAGTAATATTTGTTGAGACTGCAAACATAAGCTTTCTCGACTTAAAGTGTACTGAATTCACAGCCTTATGAAGGACTAAGTCCAACCCGAATAGGACATACCGGATGAATTAATCGAAGAGGCTTAGCAAATTTATAAAACCTCTCAAATTAATTGTCGTGGGCCACTTAGGTACACAAGTAGGTATGTAGTGAGACGTTTTACAAAGAGGAGGCTGCGTTGTATCCCGCGTCTGGCCACTACTACTCAGCCGCTAATATGCGATACCGTATTGAGGAATGCTAGATATCTCAGCTTGAAAGGCAATCCTCGCAGGGCTATTTCCAGTTCTCTATCTTATAATCACTGGACAAGGCGCTCGCAGCCTCTTCCGACCTATCTGGCCTATCTGATTGGTTTGATTGTACTAACTGTTAATTTTGCGATTTGTCGTATAGAACGTGGACAATTCTAACTTCAAATACTAATTCATCAAGGAGTATCTACAATATCCCACAGCCTCGTCATCTCTAAAAAATGACCATACCAAACCTTCAAACACAATATCTAGCAGTAGATTTCATAAAAAATCGGTTAGATGAGTTTCATCCGGGTTTTGCGATACCGGTATCACGATACGATTCCCAACTTGGTGTATTCATGGTCACCACCACGCAGCTCGAACAGTATCCATCACCGAACCTCGAGGCGTTGCAGGGCCCGAATAACCCTAAACTAGAGGACCCAGTCGACGTAGCCGAAGAACTCCAGTCAAGACCTCTAGCAAAGCCTGCTGAAGCAAAGAAATTCCGGGATGCCATTTTTCCCCTGGCGATGGCGAAGCTCGGGAATGAATCCCCAGAAGAACCAAAAAATCGTATCAGGACTGGGTATAGCATTCGCGGCAAGAATGGTTGGAAAGATGTATACGGCCAGCTTGAACGTGCTAGGGCAGTATATACATCAAACAAAGGAATCAAGGGCTTCACCAGGAAGATATATCGGGGGTTTGCTGAAAGGGTAACCCAGCCCACCTTAGGGGTGATCAAATTGATCCCCGATAATGATTATATTACCCCTGTCCTTGGAGCTATTCAAGTCTTACTAGAGGTATGCATACCTGGATACTCTATCTATAGGTTATACTGAAGTTTACAGCCTCTTTATTCATTTTCTAACTGGGTTTATAATCAGCTAAGTTCGCGGCGGAAACGCGAAAAGAAATCCTCAGTGTGTTTGATGATCTTGACCTCATGTTCTCTTAAGTAGACTTTTCATCGAAACTTTCCCACGAGACGAAAATATTCAGAACGCATCGGTAGATTTAGTGGTAGCCGTATTAGCTGCCGTGGAATCTGTTATTGGCTTCTTTATCCAACATTTGAGTATGTATTTAGATGGTCTCCGTTAAGTTGGAATAGTCTAATGAGTTCGATAGGGACCCTAGCTGCCACCTTCAATGGGAAGGAATATCAAAGTCACGTAAGGGATCATCTTGAGCGTGTGAAGTCCGCTAGCGCAAATCTCATCCGCCAAGCCTCGAACTCCAAAACATATAACGATCGCCAGCTGATGCAGGAGATACTAGCACGTGAGTACCCGGCATATTAGTCTATTCAACCATATTATAGTAGGTTAGATGTTTCTAGCTAACACGTTGCACTTCTTATATTCGCATATAGGAACGCTAAAGTGGAAAGAATCCTTTGATACGATTAAGGCTTCTCAGCAGCATATGCTCCAAGGCCAAACTCATATAAGATATGGCCAAAATCAGCTACAATATAACCAAGTTCTACTCAAGAAGGAGTTTCACCAAACACGAAACTTGTTCTGTGATTTTCTCGAAAATGGCCTACCTGAATTATTGAGTAATATTTCTTACGGTACTTTATCCATTCTCTTAAATGCTTTTTCCCCCTTGAAGACAGTTGCTTAAATCTAGACGTTATAGAAGCCGAGCGACGCGCGTATGAACGACTGGATAATATCATCGCATTACGACCTGTATCACCATCACCTTTCCTTCCCTTAATGAATAATATTCCTGTCACGCGTCAATACGTCCTCGACCTCTTGGATATTCCAGACCTGTCCCCTAATGATCTTGAGTATATTAATGGTAAAAGACAACTTTGGGTGTCTTCTGAAGAACTCGCCCGCGCCGAGAGTCTTGTTCAGCGGAGACAGGTCAAAGAATGGCTTGTAGCACCAGAGTCGTCTCAGCTTCTCATTCATGGAGGATGTGGAGACGTTCTGTACGTCTCTGGACTCTTGCTGTTTTGCACATCTGTTGTCGAGTCGCTCATTGGAAGAGCCTCTAACTTCAGCTGCCTATATTTCTTTTGCGGCCTTCACTTGGATGACCTGAACAATAAACACACAGGGGGGACTCGCAATGCTCAAAACTTTCATATGTCAACTTCTCTGTCAGTATGATATCGATACGAAATTGCTGGCGAGTTTCATGAATGAAGATCGCATCAAACATGACGACATCCTTGAACTGAGTAAGTTGTTAAGGTGGCTAGTCACCCAATTGCCTTTTAAAGACAGAGGCCTTATCCTTCATTTACAGTCCGGACTTTCTTCTCAGTCTACGCCTAGCAGCTACAGACTCGATAGGCAACTTAGGGAAGAAGCAAATAATGTTATGAACGAGGAAAATAAGGCTTTCTTTTAACTCTATCATGAAGTGCCTTGGACAATTGAGCTAAATACAATTATAATTTAATGCGCAGCAACTTGTCTTGTTCCTTTTACTCTCAAGATTCGAATAAACAACGAATCAATGGCAGTTGGTCTTTGCTAGTGGCTGAATTGTTTGCTACTAGTCGGTAGCGTGTATTGCTCCCTAGAAAATGCATGACGTCGTGATCTGACGTGTATTCATCATCGAGTTCAAAGGCACTAACCTCAGTGCTTCAGCTATTAATACATCATGCTAAATAGGAATAATCAGAGGCACATTTAATTTGGGTATTAAACGAAGCCAAAACATTATGGCTCAGAATATGAATACGACCTCGGATGGGCGTAAGCGAGTTCTAGTCGTCGGTGCTGGCGCTGCTGGGTATGTGTTATTCAAATTTTCATACTATTTCATTGATCTAATGCACAGATACCAGAATGTCCACAGCATACCACCTATCGCAACATCCTGATAAATTCCATGTTACCCTGATAGACGCTGTCGATTATTGTGGTGGCCAAGCATTCTCTATTCCACTGGACAAGGAACGTCACGGGGCGTCATGGTGTAATCAAGGTGTTCAAGTATGAATTGTTAAGTCTATTTAAGCAGTTGTGGTTATTAACATAAGATAATACAGGGCGGCTCTTATATTTTTCACCACACGGTGACGATGTTCCATCGGCAGGGCTTCCATGCCGATCCCGTGAATCTCCAGGTCTCATTCGGCAAAAATGAAACTTTTTGGACTAATGTATTTCCAACACGCCTGCTAGCCCACCACGAGAAGGAAGTGAGGTGGTTACCAATAGTGTTAAAACTAATACGTTGGCTCGAGGTTTTCTTTGCCTTACTTCCTCTGAAGCTTGTCCTTAAGCTGTTTAGGTTCTCTAAGGAATTCACCAACATAATTGCTTTGCCCATGACTGCCTTATTTCTAGGAACGGGGAATGCCACCCCAGAAGTTCCTACCATTATGTTCGAGAGACTCTTTACGTCGCCAACGTACGGAATGTGGTATGCTCCTGATAAAAACACCTTTGTCAATAACAAACCCCCGATGATTGTCTTCCCTAACTTCTCGGAATTTTACGGAACTTGGATGAAGGATCTAATCGCGCGTGGCGTAGTCGTTCGCTTGTCTACAGAGCTCACTAAGATCGCCCAGAGGAATAATCGCGGGGTCATTGTCGAACTTAAAGCACGGACGCCTGTGCCCGGCAGGGATAACCCCACTGGAGACGATCCGGACGCTCTAGTTACCGAGGAGGTATACGACGAGATTGTTATGTGTTGCCTTGCTGACACGGCGAAGAAAGTCTTGGGTCGAACAGCGACCTGGAGAGAGAAAAAGGTACTAGGGTCAGCCAAATTCAGCGATGACATTACGATCACTCACAACGACTCGGATTACATGAAGAAGCACTATGAAAACTTCTACCGAGAAGACCTAGCTGTTGATAAGGTGAACGGTGTGGGGCAAACGTCGCGTCTTGATTTTGCGGTGAACAACTTCAGACCGATGTATTATATCAAGATGTACTCGGAGGATCAGTCGAAACTTGAGATGTGCTTCGATACGACGAACTACCAGGGCCAGTTCCCGGATAAAGTTCCCTTTGAGCAGCATGTGTTCCAGACCATCTATCTCAACAAAGACCGCGATAAGAATCTATGGACAGACCATGAGATCAGAAAGGAAAAGATCATTCGAAAAGACTGGTGGCATCAACTTTGCCACAGCTATACACACTATCTCTTCGTCGTACCGTGGATGATGTTTCTTCAAGCGAAGAACCATACCCGCTATGCAGCAGCATGGACTCTGGTCAACGCCCATGAAACTGCTGTCATGTCTGGAATCGCTGCCGCGATAGACCTCGGAGCGGAATATCCCGAGGATCTTGAACACGACAAGTTTGCGTTTCTCTGTTTTCGGCTCTATTACCTTCTTGCGTATGGTAAGTGGTATAAGCGCAGATACACTAGTAAGCAAGGAGGAGAGCCCACGACGCAGGCGGCCAGAGAAGGCAAGAGCTGGGCGACGGGGCCATACGGCGGTGTATACGAGGGCCCCGGAGTATCAAAAACGGAGCGGCAGACGTGGAAAGAGGGGCTCAGGAATGGCACCAGCACTAAGAACTTGGCCGATGGGAACGCATCCGGGAGGAGCCAGCCCTGAGCACGACCGTTCCAAGACAGGTTCTAGAACGAATTCGGGACGGAGTGTATGTATACCCGATGGCTATGAATCGGAAATCTGCCAATTCATCTTTTCCAAGTTCCAAGATCCGAGTTCAACTATGGTTCCAACTGCACTACGAGATACTACCCTTCTTAACTGTCACAGGGGCACGAGCCACACTTGTGCGGTGGCCTGCTGTAGTCTGCGGTGGCTAGACTATCTACCTATCTTTCCACTTTGTTGGTTTCTTTCGACGTATAATATGCGTTGAGCCTCAATATTATATAAGTGAACCACGATTAGAGGCAGTCTAGTTAGCAATTCACGGTCTACGCGGCCTACATAATTTATGGGGATATAGTTCCAAAATTCATATCATAAATTCGTATTATTCTCGAAAGGGGACTCGTGACTCACAGCCACAGGTGCAGTAGTATATTGAATTTTATGTGGTTTATACATAGTTTATACCTACCCCCTATTAGTACAATGAATACTAAGAAGCGAGTAAGCGAATAAGCGAATAAGCTATATCTGGGCTATAGCATCTTGTCAGCAGCAGTCAGCGAAGATGCTGTGTGGGGCCAGATGTCTGAATATGAATTGGCAAGTGTTAGCAGAGCCTCGACTAAGCCTATATCCTACTTATCCTCTAACCTATCCTATCTCGCGATGCTACGGGCTGTTAGTGTGTAGTATACATATGAGAATCTCCGCTAAATTAAGGCTCGTCTGACTCATCATCGACTCACAACGAACGAGTAAAATAATAATTCTCGCAAGAAAAAAAAAACAAGAAAACATTCTTTTGGTTTTGAGATCCTTGGAACCATATATCGACCCAACATGGAGACTCGTCACATAATTCCTGCTACCATCGCACAGCAGCAACCACTCATATCTATAAGACCTATCTCAGCAAAAGACACTTACGCCTTACGACAGGCAGTGCTTTGGCCCAACAAGCCGTTGTCTTACGTGCAGCTACCCGACGACATCTTCGGTCAGCATTTCGGAGCATTCGTCTCCAATAGCAACAACAGCGACGCCAACAAGAATGGCGAAGACTGCTGCTGCAACAGCCGCGACAGTAAACAAAATCCCGAAGAACTATTAGTGAGCGTCGTCTCGCTGTTCGATGATGGTAGTGGCGCGGCACGGTTTCGCAAATTCGCCACCGCGCAGCTGTGGCAGGGCAAAGGCGTGGGGTCCGCCCTGTTGAGCTACACCATCGAGGCGGCCGCTAGAAAAGGTGCCACGAGTATCTGGTGCGACGCTCGACAGAGCGCCCTGGGTTTTTATCAGCGCTTCGGCATGAGCGGTGAGGGCGAGGTATTCTTCAAAGGCGAGGTGCCTTACCTTCGTATGTCGAGGGCTCTACCCTAAAAACCCTCATCTTCGGCTCCGGTCTGGCTTGCGTTTGGGTCGGCGCAGGGGTGCCATTAAAAGAAGAGGAGAAGTGGAAGCTCTATTGCCTCTTGGCGCAGAAGTGGAATTAGATGCTGCTTTGTAGGTCCGCGGTTCCAAGGTTCACCAGACCTATGGATAGCCAATAAATCCGGCTTGTAATGTCACTACGCGTCTATGATTGGGAAGGAGGATGCCGCCGCGGACAGCGCCGTCCGTACTGTGGTTGAAAATGGTATTATTCCCCGCGTTTTTCATCGGGGCACGGGCGCTATGCGGTATGCGCTTAGGGATGGAGACCTGTGGATAGACCTGTGGATGAAGATAATCCTAGTAAGGTAATGGATACCGGAAGCTCGATTGCCTTGATCACGCTAACGTTCCGTCGTTTGACAGGCGTTCGGGTTTCCAAAAGGAAGTGCTTGATCTCAAGCCTTGAACTATTAATGACGTATTTGTTCTTGGCCATTCGATTCTAGGCGCCCGCTTCATTGACAGGCAGACAGGCAGGCAGGCAAGGATAGCAGCATTAATCATTGATTCTAGTGTATGTACATATCGTCGTCCTCTTTCCCCAGCCTCCCTTGGAGCCCAAGGTGATACAACGCGTCCTTGGGGAAAAGGGGTACTTACTTACAGTATACCTTTAAGTATACATACGATATACAGCACACAACATACGACATACGTTAATTACATGAGTATGGATCACGTGCAGGAACGGATACATACTATCGACTATCGAAGTCCTTGAAAACCAGATTGTATTGGTTTAGGTTGGCATAGCGATGGTTAGTAGGTACATATCATGTAGGTACTACTGCGATGCAAGCTGATGTGTATACTGGGAACATGTGTATAGTAGAAACATACTAGGAATATATTGGGAATAGTAAGAATATACTGGGAATAGTAGGAATACTAGGAGCATTATGTAGGAGTTCGAGGAGTCAAACCTATACCGCAATCTACATAACTTATACCGAAATCTATACCGCACAGTGTGTAAGTGGAGGAATGGAGGAGTAGAGGAGTAGAGGAGAAGAGTACCTAGTGTAGAAGAGAGGATCCCCCCCTCCTTACTACGGCATAACAACGATTCAATAAGTCTGGTATGAACTGTACGATTTACAAAACTCCACTTACGCACGCACTGTTTTATGCAGTGTGCCGGCGCCACAACCTATGGGGAACAATGTTTATGAGAAACTCATTAAGAAGACCATTAAGAAAATCAAAATAATGAACGCGAGTAATGTACCCAGGTGACCGGATCTCAAGAAATTATGCTCGGTACAGAATACGCGATAAATGGTACACGATGATCGGACCCTTAGATCTTCGATGTGGTTGTCTATCGGTCTACCGGTCTATCGTATTTTCGTACACTCAGAGTCTTAGACATTCGAGGTTCGAGACCTGCTTCACTATGTAATCGGGGTTAGAAAACAACAAGACTTAGGATGCACACCTACGTATTTACGCATTTGCGAGACACGATTGTGTTACCTGTATAACCGTCGCTCCCGATCGAGAGAATCCTCCAGGATCCAATGAGAAGGATATTTTTATCGCTTCGTAATTATTACAGGAATACCTATCAAATGAAGCACCGTGCAGATTTCACAAAGTGACCCCGGTGTACTTTTCCCCAGTATATACACTACAGCCACTTATTGAAGATGGCGACTAATAGTAATAAGAGATGGGACTAATAGATGGAGACTACACTTACACTGGAGACGGCAACGCAACTCACGCAACTCGCGCAGCTCACTACACCAACAATAGGCATCTACCGGCGTCGTTAGTCGCCTAGCCGCCCAGGTTAATCTCTTAGTCGCTACTGTTAAAAGACGCCCACCGTACGAATCTATAAACTAACCTACCGGCCTACCGAAAAAGTAGAGATCCTAATCGGACTATCAGGGGCGATAGGCGGTCGATCCGTCCATTGTCCACTGGCGAGACCAAATCTAGACGCGTACATTAGGTACTTTGACAACTTTGACAACTTTGACAACGCAATTGACGACTCAGTAAGGGCCAGATGGGGCGTGGCCGACTGAAAATAAAACTCGAGACGGGTCTATATGGCTCAACCGACTCCGTCGACAGATGGTTGGAGGATGAGGATGCAGCAGTGTCCAATCCGATAGAATTCCCATATATCTTTCATACTATGTATATGCCAATGCTCTGCATTGTTCCGTAATTGTGTGAAGGAACATTAGACTGGCTCTCGCTTAATGCATAGCCGTCGGCCAGCCTCGCGTCAATATTCGCGTCGTCAACGGTGGGAAAACTGTATACAGTAGGGCAGGAGAAACCTAAAGACGTCATTAGGCCAACGAAAAATTCCGTACGATTTGTCTCGCACCTAGGGTGATAGAGATGGGGAGTGGTCAGTAATTTTATGAATTCTTGTGACTTGGCAAAATGTGGCAAATGATGGCCGAATAAAGGGGGTGGGGTAGTATTCAGAGGGTCATCTGGTTTTTAAACCAATCATCTTACACGGATGCATGAGTGCCCAACCTGATATGGGAGACATTGGGCATTTGAGCATCTGATCCAACGATTCCAACCTCCCCCCCCCCCCTCCGGACCCTTCACCAAGTTCACCAGGTACAACTTTGTATTCTACTGTGTACGCCCTTAGGCTACGGTGTCTACTTTCTATACTTTCTCTACTTTTCACTACGGGCACTGCTACGGGACCCCGTTGGCCCCCCGTTGGGCAACGTTCCGTATACCCATTGGGCGCCTCGCGGTGAGTCAGGTAGGACAGCAAATTCCCTTGCAGGTTGACCCGGGGAGGATATCCCTGTAAAGCACGCGGTTGTACAGACATGCCAGCTGCAACTAGTCTTTGGTCATCCTCACACCAATTCAGGTTATTGTATGTAGGTATGTCTGTATGTAGTCCCATTCTCGCATACACCCACCGTAGAAAATCCAGTTTATTATTCAAGTACCCGTCAGCCTTCCCTTTAGGTCTCTTGATCCTAACTTAGGAAAGTTGACAAAAACCCTCCCGTGCTACGTCTTCATCCGTTTGCCTCACCTTGTCCCTTGTCTCGTAATTCCTAGACAACAAAAGCCTGAGCAAGCCCACCGAAATGAGCCAGCACCTCACCACTTTAATTCCAATTCAAGAGACTACACTAGCCGAACTAACCTGGGCACACTTGATAAGAAGTCTAACTTACCAATTCCACCCAGAATACGACATACTGAAAGGAGAAGAGAGATAAGAAGAACAAGAAGAATAAGAAGAAAATAAGAAGAAGAGGAAGAAGCTTTAAGATGGACGTGCGAACAAGCCGACCCGTGGAGCGGGCATTCGCCATGCCCGGCGGATTCCCAACCCCAGCCCCAGCAATCGCCGAACGGCCCCGGTCAAGATCACGGCCGGCCGCATCCGAAGCAGAGACAACCCATAGCCGGGCAGTCACAACAACAACATCACAAACAGGCCCTCTAAGAGGTATCCTAAAGAACCCAACACCACCCGCGCGACCGCAAGATCCCCTTGCTGCACGCTTTTACAGAGTCTCGAAGCCAGAGCAACCAATGTACATGCCTGCGGGACCCCCATCACCAACATACCACTCGGACAGTGACAGATATACATCCTACGAGACTGACTCCCAATCGGCATCGTCAGAGCTCTCTGTCAACACACAAGCTACTAGCGTCATATCAGATTCTAGTGTTCCCCCTAAGCCCTCAAAACCCTCGACCCAAGTCAAACATGTACGCCATGTACCATCAGCAGCTTCAGCCAGGACGCGGACGCGAACGCGATCTAGGGCGCCTTCGGAGGTGTCTAAGCCTCCCGTCCCGGAGAAGAAGAGGACGGTGCACATTCAATTCGTTCCACCAAAGCCCCAGCAGGCCCCTTCACAGTCTCAGGAACTTCAGCTTGCTCGGAAGCCAGAAAACGACCTCGCGTACAAGCTTGAGCAACTAGAGTCAGAAACTGATACCCTCCGACAAGAACGGAGTAGACTAAGCAGGGACCTGGATGACATATCTGTACAACTATCTACTAGGGGACAAGAGAACAAGGAAATCGTGCGCGTCCTGAATATCGAGCGCAACTCAAAGGAGCTTATCTTAAGAGACCTTGAGGAGCAACGGCAGATTTCTGACGAATTCCGTAGTAACTACCAACTACAGCAAGGCATGTTAATAGAGGCAGAGAGGGAACGAGACAGTCTCAAGCACATGCGTGACAGGTTTGAGCAGCAGGTCATCGAGCTCGAGCGGGAACTGGCAGTGCGAGATGCCGCCCAAAGAGAACAGGAAGACGCACTCAGGCGTGATATCGAAACCCTGGAGCATACAACAGCAAGCTTCGAGAGACAAATGGGCGCTCGCAATAAGGATATCAAGGATCTGAGCACCGAAGTCAAAGATTTGAACAACGAACTCAGGGAACTGGACTGCGAAGTCAAGGAGTTAACGTCAGAGAGAGACCAGGCTCGGGCGGATGCCTCTAGATTCTTATCTAAGATTAAATCTCTAGAGGCCAACAGCGGACCCGTCAGAGAGGAGAATGCAGCACTCGGCAAGGATAACCAGAAGCTATACCACCGAGTTGAGGATCTTCGAGACGAGAGAGCTGCCCTTGAAGAGAAGGTCAGGTGCTTTGAGCAAGATATTGAGTCTCTTAGGGTACATGTCGCATCTCTCGAGTCCGACAAGCAATCTCTCGAGAAAGACATCGAGTCGGTGAAGGTTAGTAGGGAAGATGCTGAGAAGCGACTTGAGACTGCACAGTCCGAGAAGAAAGAACTTCAGGACCAGCTCGACGCCGCCAAGACGGCCCGAGACGATCTTGAGAAGCAACTCGCAGCGACCAAGGATGATCTCGAGAAGCAGCTTGAGACGACCAAAGGCGACCTTGAGAAGCGGCTTGAGACGACCAGAGGCGACCTTGAGAGACAACTGGAAGCTACCAGGGATGATCTCGGAAAGCAATTGGAATTCTCCAAGCAGGAACTCGACAAGCAAGCTTTGGACTTCAAGACGATTATTGACGACAAACAGTCAAGAATTGACGGTCTGGTCACCGAGGTTGCCGGATCCAAGGAAGCTAACATCTCCCTTGCATCAGAGCGACTACGGCTTGACGCAGAACTGGTGAATGTTCGGGCTAACTTGGTCAACGTCGAGAACGACCTCAGCCTAGTGCGGGATCATAACAGGATTCTCGAGTCGGAGAAAGAACAGCTGATCATCCGTACCGCGGATCTCGGAAAGGTGTACGACGACCTCGAGAAGCTCCGCCGGGAACACGCAGGTTGCGAGGAACGCTCGAAGGGACTCGAGGAGCGGTCCAAGGGACTTGAGGCTGATGTCGAAAAGCACCAAGAAGCTGCCAAGGTGCTGCAAGAGGAGAAGGACAAGATCGCCGCTGTCGCTAAGAACCTAGAAGAGGGCTCAGGCCTTACCAAGCTTCACGAGGAGAAGGCCACTCTTGAAGTAAGCGTGAAGGAACTTGAAGGCAAGGTCTCCGTGCTCTCTCAGGAGAAGTCGCACCTGGAGGTCAAGACGAACGACCTCCAGACCGAAGCCAGCAAGATTCCCGCGCTAGCTCAAGAGAAGACCGACCTCGAGGCCCAGCTGGAGGCGAAATCTAAAGACCTCCAGGTCGAATCTGATAGGGTCATAGCTCTAACCCAGGAGAAGACGGACCTCGAAGGCAAGATCAAGGATCTCCAGGCCGAAGCGGATAAGGTACCCGCCCTGGTCGAGCAAGTGCATTCGTTGACTATGCGGCTCGATATGGCGAACATACAACTCTCTACAGCCACTGCGACACAGGCATCATCTACAGCCCAAATCATCGACCTACAATTACTCGTGAGCAAGCTACAAGACAAGCTACACGACAAAGACCGGTCCAAGGACCGATCCAAGTCGCGCAACAATAAGCGTCAGAGCCGCTCACCATCAAACAGCCTAATCTTCGTCCGCAACCCCTCGGACAAGGACGGCAACATACTCGTCATGTCGCGCGATACACTCAAGAAGAGAGACAAGTCGCCACTATAAATTTACAGGCTGCTGGTCACGCCAAGAGAGAAAGTGGAAATCCACTTAAATATTAATCGAGGTCCGGGATAGAGAAAAATCAATCAACATCAACATCAACACCAACACCAATACCATCATGACGAAAATAATACTACGACAATACGAGTCCAACGGGAAACGATAGAGCGGAGGGATATGAGAGAATTGAGAGATCTTCGACCAAGACTGAACGCTTACATGCTTACGAGCAGAACGATTCCGTCGCTGTCGCGGGTCTACAAGGGTATGGGTTATTAACTACGGGATACACAAAAAGCACGGATGGGCGGAGGGGCTCGAATATTTGAGTTTGTTGTGCTGTCAGCTGTATTATTTCCAACGCTGTCACCATCATCATCATCTTGTACGAGGGGGATTGAACAAGCCATAGATTGTTCAAACTGTCAAGCGGATTGTAGCCATATTCTACAGGCTACACCGCCATCATAGCGTTTACTTCTCTTCCCTTTGTTCACCATCATTTTCATTATCACTTGTTTTTCTACTTGTTAACTTGTTATTCTACATATCATCATCAAAGGGGGGCAGGGGGGGATCGGGAGGGGACAGCGAAAATGGAGCATGAGATGGGGTTACCGGAAAAGGAAACAAAGGGAGGACCTCATATCATGTTAATTCGCCCCCACGACTGTGTACTGCTAGTGTAAGGTTGTCGGACGTCAGTCATGTCTTGTTATTATCAGGTCATCATGTATCCGGTCTAGACAATGAGCACGAGCTCGAATGGGAACATGGAAGGGTTGCAATTAGAAACTCAGCAATCGTAATTTGTGGGATTTTATTAGTTAATTCAATTCAATATTTTTCAAATTGTCAGAAATTAAAAATCAAAAATATTCTGTAGCAATGGAAAGCAAACGAAGTTGTGATGTTTCAATTTATTGGTGCTTCGGTAAACTGCTTCGGTAAACAAAGTCTTTCTCCACGGTTCTAGAAGTAGACGACTGGGCTCTTGGGCGTGTTCCATTAGGGCCGTTTGGGGTACATGTAGGTATCTTTAAGTACCTAAATAGTCTTGAATTAAGCCAATCATAGTTCCTATCAACAACCAAATGCGGTAGTAGCCGTGTTAGCGTTTTCGTCACCTTGCCAGCTTGCCAGCAGACTGGGGTTAGCATTAACAATATTTTTTCTTTCATTCTTTTTTTCTCATTTGTAGCCCAATGTGCAAAGTTTGGGTAGCCAGATCTATGGAAACATGTAGGTAGGTAGTTAACCATCTTAGGTACCTGTTTGACATTGTCAAATAACTACCTAAAGTATTTGTTAAACTATGTCACTTTACATCAACAACCAAGATCGGAAAACCTCGACGCCAAAGTAACGTATCAAGTGCCGGGTGCCCTAACTTCGGATCGCACCGTAACTACCTCTCACCAATAGGAGGAATCTGACTCCTCGAGCCTGAATACATACATACCTAGGCAGTGAGTGGCAACTTCAGGGACTACGGCAGAGTCTCTTAATCAAAACCATACACTATAGGCCGCTTCCACGAGCCGGTCTTTATGGCAAAATTTACAGATCCAAGGCAGGCTAGACTTCCAGACCGCGAGGTCATCCCAATACATGGTAGGTCAGTTCGTATGATACGTAGATCGCAAACAGTCGCACCCGAAAATCTCCCCTATCTACATCATCTAGACCCTCCTCTCCGAGCCCGAACAGGCTCCCCAAGTACCACAAGGCCATAAATACCAAGATGAAACCCACGCCCGCGCTAAATGCGGTCGGGCAGCTACACTAGACCCAGTGATCGTCGTCAGCATTAGACAAGGCGGAGGTGGCAAAATTGCTAAATAGTCGAGTTGTACCACCACCACCAAGAAGACAAGATGCGGTTGTTCTTTCGCGCGATAGCGGCTACGCTGGCCGCCGCTGGAACAGCCGAGGCCCGGCTCTACCGCATCGGTATCCCGGACGCTATCAAACCGGGCGACCCGTTCAACGCCACCATCGAGCAGTTGGCAGGCATCCCGCTACAATACACCATGCTCTGGGGCATCGAGCGCTACGACGAGGAATGGTCGGTGGCGCCGCGCCCGGGAAGCTTGGGGCCTGTCCTGCTGGCCAACGGGATTGTAGATCTCCAGAGTAAGTAAATACATATTCTCTCTCTCTCGGCCTAACTCCAAGTACAGGGTAGCTACGGGAGTGAGCTGGCAAAAACACAAGCGGGCGAGCGAGCAAGGATATTTCCCCAGCCGACTGACTCCATAGCAAGGGGGACAAGCATGGAAAAGCTCAGTTGCAGCCTGGAAGAAACATACCTACCTGGCCAGGTCATACATACACTTACTCAGGTACCTCCGCTAAATGTCAACAGAAGCAGTAGGAGACGGCTCCGTGAGTGGTAACACGTCCATCGCCGGATTCGTCGTCCCAGCAGGCTACAAGCTTGGCCCTGCGGCCATCCAAGCCGTCATCTTCGAAATCGCGGGACCTCTGAACTCGCCCATCATCGAGACGTGGTGGTGGAGCGTCAACATTACCAACGCCAGCACGAGCGAGAGCTTGGTCTGGTCTAACTACGCGGACGACAACAGCCGCATCTGCCAGATTCCCTTCCAATAACGGGAGGGCACACGTACATACATACATACGCACATACATACATGCATACATGCGCGAGATGGAAATATAATTGGGGCACATAAGGGGTAAGACGGGTGACGAAGTGCTAGCCTGGGGTAATACGGGGAAGTCCAATCCCTGAGATCGATGTGCTGCCCGATGGAATTCTCCGGGGGTTACGTTTCACGCCGGGTCGTGCATGGTATATAGAGAACCCCACGGGCTTTTTAAGAGATATCATCTAATACAATAGTCACGGTTACTTCCAATAGGATGGATCTATTTCACTTGTGCTGCCAACGTATCAGGCTTAAAAGTTCATACCAAGTTTAACGCATGACGATGTAACATCTACCCTAGACGTTGACGGTTACGGTTACGGTTACGAAACTTAAATCAACTATTATCAGGCTTGATCATAAATGTCCATGAGGAAACCAAAAATGTATTTTTTTTTCTTGGATTTTTTCAGTGAAGTAAACCTGAAATGCTACAGGATCGGGCCAGTTATGCGAAGAGACATTGAGCTATAGCAACATTTTCCTTTCCCCCTAACTCCCTTAACCAACAGGAACTTTCGCCGAGCATGAAACTCGATACTGAATTAAGAAGAGAATGTCATCCGGGACGCCGCAGAGATGTTGAAGTTATCTGCCAAAACGTTAGCCTCTATCATCATAGAAGACGATGCATGCTAGTTAGTTTTCAAACTAACCTTGGTGATTGCTAAAAGACTAGCTTTAGAGCCTAAACGTGTTTTTGTTTTATTGAATCTTCTTCTTCATGTGATGATGACTATGCTGACACGTATCTGCGTCAATTAGAATCACTGAGGTTCTCTACACTGATTGAAATGGCTAGCAAGGGCCAACGGATGGTGTTTGGTAATTACAACCGACCCTAGGGCGGATCGATGAGTCACAATTCAACCCGGCTCCTAGTCGAAATGTGCGAAATGGCGAATACCGTCCAATGATTACGGATCTGGCATCGTTGAGTGTGTGGAGGTTAACTTGCATGCATAACCTTTACGGGTCTTGAACGTTATCTTTTCAAGACGTCGGGCAGGATCTCAATGCAGACCGACATAAAACTCGGAACAGAACGGAACAGAGCAAGTGAAGCAAGTAAAAGTTGGAAAGATAAGTGGTGTCTATTATGATTGGAATTGTTTGCTCAGGGGTGCCATAGCCTCCCCCCTAGGCCAATCATTATAGCGTGCTATGCGAGCCCAGCGTTGGGCGGGCACACGTTCAAGAATCAAACCCTCTCAAGAGCTCGTAGTCTATACCGACGGCTCATTAACCACAATGACCCAATTTTGACCACTGATATTGGAATGCGTATATATTCGAATAGACCTATCGCTTTGATCGGTGAATGAGAAGAATCATGTATTAGGCTGGGCCGCTGGCGCCGAACCTTCAATCGTTGCGGCAATCGTAGTCTGGGCGACGCCAGAGGGAACCGGGTTGGGCTGCGGACCATTCTTACGGTGATTGTTGCCCTCTTCAGTCAAAAGCTTGCTCAGGAGTTGTAAATCATCACGAGCTCGTGGATCACGTTCTAGAGCTCTACGAATAGCAGTCCACTCGCCCTCTTTCATACGAGCGGCATGAGGAAGTAGGAAGGTAACGGTCGAACTGGAGAATAAAGGACCGAGGACTTGACGAGCCTTCATCTCTCCTTCAGCCTGCGCGGCTCGTAAAGCCGGGACCATAGGGTCTTGTGCGACTTGCGGCGCGGTTGCTAGCGGTGCCTGACGTGGCGGCACTACTGGTGTCGGGTGGCCTGGAATCTTGGGAGGCGGAATAGGCGTTTGACTATATTGTGGCTGAGACAAGGCCGGAGGGCCGAAGGGCCCTTGAGGTGTCGCAGGTGACCATGATGGGCCAGAGAGTGATAGCCTCGGCATTGGTGTACCTTGAGTTGGTGTTGCCGATGTAGTCTTCTGCAACTCGGATCGCTGTTGATCTATCGGGATCTGTGCCTGTCTCTCATCCCGATAGACAAAGATCATTAGAAGCATAGGCTCAGAACGCTTCAGGGGTATGAGGTGATCTCCAATGTTCTGCAGCGGTTCTGGGATCGGACCATCGCCCTCTGCCACAGGCACTAAGTAGGTATCTCTCACATTGCCTAGCTTCTTCTCACCGACAACGCCATATCGTTTCTTAGATTGGAAATATTCGATGACGGCTAAAAATTGCTTTTGCGCGGCGGGGTCCGCGGGATGGCTTGGAGACAAACTAGTAATGACTAAGTCTACCTGGTTGTTGTACCTCAACCCGCAAAGATATGGTATAGCTTTCTCTTCCGCGATACGTCCAGCGACTGTGAGAAGAGGCGGTATCAGATCTTTCCATGCAATGTTCCTAACCTTGCTAAGATCAGCTCCACCAGCATACCTCGCCACGGTATCAACCTCGGCCACGTTGGTCATAACAAGGGGACCGCGCCACACAATATCAGGATCAATATGCTCCGTCGGTGAATATGGCGGAGATTCGTTGCCATCCTCCTGAAGTAGTCGGTCGACTTCGGGATCGTCGCCGGGACCGGCCGACTGAACTTGTGTAGAGGTTCGTCTCTGATGGGATACTGAGGGGGATCGAACGCTTGAGAAGACTTTACCAATATCGAAGTCCGATTTTCTAGGCGAGTGCTGGTGTGTTTGAGTATCGATCCGGAGAGGCACCGCGGATGAGCTAGAACGACTACCAGCATTCGTAGGAGACGCTACTCCATCTGCCGATGACGCAGTCGCGTCATTGCTCGCATTGGCGACCTCACTCGCTTCTCTAACACCCTTTCGGCGAAGATTAGACGGGGCTTCATCTAATTCCACTGTAAGGTGATCCCCTTCAACAACTTCCTCTCCTTTGTGAGTTCGTCGTACTCGTGGGCCATCCTCGGTGATCAGAATGGATTGCTTCTCCGCCCGCGCTTTCATCTCGGCCGTCTCACGCTGCTGCTCTTTGGTGGCAAGCTGGTCGCCAGTCATTACTACAAAGGATGTAGGCGCCAATGTCCTGTTCAGGACCTGGCTGGCAAGTTCTACATTATTCTTCAGACTGAAGAACAGCGCGCGAAGTTGGGATGCATTATGAGAGGTGTTCGGGTGAGTGTCTTGAAAGGCTCGTTCGATCTCGATAGCTAATCGTTCAGTAATGTCCTTTTTGGACGAGCCTTGAGGGATAGCATATAGCTTTCTCTTCTCAGTAAGGTCGACGGCCGCATCAAGGGATTTCTGCAAGCCTAGTGCTGCTTGTCTTCGAGGGCCTTCAAGCTTCTGAATGCTCTCGGGCAAGTCATCCGGAGGAGCGTATGCCGGACCTGACGGAACTGCTTGTACATCTGAAACCTTGCGAAGCTTGCTATGTGGCCCTTGTGACTGATCCCGAGCTTTACGCTTACCCTTAGAAGCCGACTCAGGTGTACTCTCATCCTTTTTCGCATCAGGGGTAGGAGATGCCTTTGCCTTTGTAGTAGACGTACTCGGCGATGAACGGTCTTTAGGATCGCTTACGCGCTTTCCCTTGCTTTTCCTACCCCCCTTCTTGCGCTTCTTCTCTTCTTCGTACTTGTGCCTACGTTCCTCCCACGGCCTCTCCCCTTTCTTGATAGCCTCCAGGGTAGTCTTGTGGTCTTCGGGCGCGCATTGTTCGCAGAAATAATCTCTAGTTAAATCTTCCGTAAAAACACTCATGCCCATACACACATTGTGTTGCCAAGCACCGCACTTGTCGCATGCAATCCACGGTTCGTTCGTATCATCGTCGTCCTGAGTAGTAGCACCGCAGATGCAACGTATGATTTCTTCATCCTCATCCTGCTTCTCGTCCTTCTCGGCTGCTTTCTTGCTGTTCTTTTTGGTCTGGCGTCGCTTCACAAATTCCGGTCCGTTCTCGAGTTGATCGAATGCTTTTGTGTGTTGACCCTTTGTGGCTCGCACGGATCGACGAGGCTCTGGTTCGCCTATAAAGACGTGTGTACGCGTTAGTGACTGACTTAGCTTGCTAACCGGGCTTGAAATAATAGAATGCATATTATGACGAGTACTTTGACATGTGTCAACTAGGACTTATGCCAAGCTGCTTGTCGCAGAACTATGGCGGGTGGTACGCTTACCAGACATATTGAGAATCGGTGAAGCTCAAATCAGGAGAATGCAGGTCAAGTTGCAGCACAGGTATTTAGTTGCTTGATGTTGCGAGAGAGTCTGAGTCTACGTTGCGACTTTAAAAATTGGCAGCAGAAACTCTTCAGACAATCATGGCTTCTACGGAGCTGGGTTGATCTATGATCTGGCCAGAAGATGAAGGCAAAGTGACCAAAAATATGACCTTCAAGCTCTTCTAGCACCTAAAGAGACCTAGCCTTTTCCTTTCAGGTCCCGGTGGAGTGTATTGGCTGGACCAAGGTAGTGAATGAAAAAAAAGGGAGAATCTAGGTAAGATACCGCCAAATGATGTTGTCGCGAAGAATCAAACTGCCGGTGACGCGACAGCACTTACTTCTTGTTGACCGGCGTATACAGAAATCGACACCGCCGAGCACGCGCCGTATTGGGAGGTGCTAAATCGTGTCGTGACGTGGTCCTCCGAATGCTGATGCGGTAGTTATTACGATGGGGAAGTTTGTCACGAGTGGAGGTTTTGATGTTGAATGGGGAAAACATCCCATGAAAAGACAACGGCAATTGCGCACGGACCTCAGATCTAGAAGTGATGGAAGGTGGAAGTACCTAAGGTTTAGGTACCTAGGTACCTAGCATCTAGCTTTGTGGCTCAGATAATTGATAAGCAATAGCTTCCCCGCACATCTCCTAGAAGTACCTAACTTTAGGTATATTCATGTGTACAACCTCTAGGAAATTACTATCTTGAAGTGAGCTCTCTTGAAGTTAGTGGGCAAGCACGTCTAGTTGCTTGGGTACATGTACCTAGGTGATTTATTAAACCTATAAGTACATACAATAAGAATTACTTCTACTTTACGAATTGCAAGTTAGATGAGACGCAGTACCTATTGCATTTATTCTATTATATGCCTAGGTACCTACATAGTCTACATAGATGTATGTGGGGTAATGAAACAGCAGTGACCTAAATACGGATTACAAAGTACATAATAGCTACAACCACCAAAGCACCAGCCACAGTAGCTCCAGCAACAATCTGAGGCGTCAGGTAGCCGCAAGCACGTAGATTAGATACCTAGGTACCTAAAAGCCTTATGGGTCAGTGCTTTCAAGTTACCTATTCTCATTGTAAGGTACGCGTCGGAGCTCTTGCCTAGCTGTTAGCCTTAGTTCAATAGCCCCAGCCTTTCCCAGAAATCAATTTGTGGTAGCATCCAACGTCGGAGCTTTGATACTTAATACGAACACTACTAACTAATCCGACTTCTACCAACAACGAACTGGTCTTCGTCAACTCGCATTATTTTCAAGACTAGGAACAAACTTCTATTCTTGATTTTCACGGCCAGATTCCCCCACCATGTCTCGCCGTTACGATTCCCGAGTAAGCTCAAGAGCTACCTATCCCTAATAACATTATATGCGCAGAGGCTCACATTTCGACCAGACAACTATCTTCTCGCCTGAGGGTCGCTTGTATCAGGTCGAATATGCGCTTGAAGCTATATCCCATGCCGGAACTGCGATCGGAATTCTTGCTAAAGATGGCATCGTCTTGGCTGCAGAGCGCAAGGTTACGTCGAAACTACTAGAGCAAGATACTTCAGCGGAGAAGCTCTACATTCTGAACGAGTGCGTAGTGGGATCACAGCTACATATCTAGGTGGACCTGTGGAAACTAACGGGTTGCAGCAACATGATCTGTGCGGTCGCAGGCATGACAGCCGATGCAAACATACTCATCAACTATGCCCGACAAGCCGCTCAACGGTATCTCCTAACCTACAACGAAGACATTCCATGCGAACAGCTAGTGCGAAGACTATGCGATCTTAAGCAAGGATACACCCAACACGGTGGATTACGACCGTTTGGTGTATCATTCATCTATGCGGGATGGGACCCCCAGCGACAATTCCAGCTTTACCTGAGCAATCCATCGGGCAACTATGGCGGTTGGAAGGCGACAAGCGCCGGTGCCAACAATGCAAGCGCCTCAAGCTTGTTGAAGCAAGACTACAAGGAGGATTGCACATTGAAGGAGGCCTGCGGTATGGCAGTTAAAGTGCTAAGCAAGACTATGGACTCAACCAAGCTAAGCAGCGAGAAGAGTGAGTTCTCCGTAGGAATCAAATCATGTTGGACAATACTAACATGGGCTTTCTAGTCGAGTTCGCAACGGTGGGACAGACCAAGGACGGTAAGATCTACCACCGACTTTGGAGTGCGGACGAGATCACTGCGCTCTTAAAGGAGCACGATCTGGCAAAGGATGAGAACGCGGAAGATAAATGAGCCAGAATATGTTAGAGCATAGGACCGTAGGTCTAAAAGCGCCCGGGGTCAGCCATGTATCAATACTGAATCATAGGAGCATCAGCTGAGTCTGAGGTTGGTATATCGCCATACCCGAGTCAACATGGTCACCCGTTTTTGTACCGCGGTATTGAGTTCCAGCTGTTCTGGGGTTGAGCACCTAGAAGAGATAGATACATGAAGAAACCGATTCTAAGCCAACACAGACTAGGTATACGACTCCTTCATATCCGAAATCGATATGATATTTAAGCCCGGATCTCCTGTCTATCGGCAGTGATGTTAGATATGAGGCAACTACCTATGTGCAAGGTATATATGCCTAACGTATACCTAGGTATGTACCTACATAGGTAGGTAACCTAGTGGACATGTAGTAACCGGTCGTGAAGTTAATCCCTCCGATCTGGACCCCAAAAATCCCCTGAAGGCCCCAAAGCCAATTAGCGCCTCCACATGTTGCACGCATGTCAGTACCTATGTAAAAGGCCATCAATTGAATCCTTGTTAGCTGCATGAACCCAAGAATTTCAGGTCCGTTTAGGTCAGACCAGGGGGCTAGACAACAGGTACTAATAACAACTAAACTTTCCTGCCCCGCCAAATAAAAACATCTTGGGCTAACTTGTGTCGTTGCATTTCAAAGCTTCAAATCTCAAACTTCAAACTTCCCTTGCCCAAACTAAGCTTGTACCTGAATCCGAGCTGCACTTTATTTATTATTTACACATTTGTCGATCATCATGCTTCAGGTTCCGATTCGAGAAAAAGCCAATGGTCCCAGTAAGGGTACCAAAGCTGTCATCCTAGTATATACACCCCACCTCCTATACGACAACTCGCACTAATCACAACTGTTCACTACAGGTTGGCGGTCCTTCGAGAGGAACCCGGTTTCGCCCTCTGTCGCTCGATGTCCCCAAGGTCCGCACATTGATCATCCCTATAAAACATATTACCCTCTCCGTACTAACAAACGATACAATAGCCTTTGTTCGACGTTGCTGGCCACCCCATCATCTGGCACTGCTTGACCGCCATTGCGAAAGTGCCCTCCATTCAGGAGGTTGTTATGATTGGCTACTATGACGAATCCGTATTCAAAGACTTCATCAAGGAAGCTGCTTCGGAATTCCCTAATCTCCCTATCAAATACCTACGGGAATACCAAGCGCTAGGTACAGCAGGTGGCTTATACCATTTCCGAGATGCTATTCTTAAGGGTCGACCCGAGCGTATCTTCGTTCTCAACTCGGACGTGTGCTGTTCCTTTCCCCTCAACGAGATGGAGAAGCTATTCGACGACAAGGATGCCGAAGCTGTCATTCTAGGCACACGGGTAGGCGAGGATGCTGCGACCAACTTTGGTTGCATCGTATCGGATCAGCACTCTCGTCGTGTGCTGCACTACGTCGAGAAGCCCGAAAGCCACATATCAAATCTCATCAACTGTGGTGTCTACCTGTTCAGCGTCGACGCCATCTTCCCGAGCATCAAGACTGCTATCAAGCGAAGAACCGACCGACCTCGACTAGTGTCGTATCCCTCATCCGAGAACCTCGAGTCGAGCTTCATGGCCGACGAAGATGAAGAGCGCAAGAATGAAGTCATCCGTCTGGAACAAGACATCCTGAGCGATCTCGCAGACAGCAAGCAATTCTTCGTCTACGAGACCAAGGACTTCTGGCGCCAGATCAAGACGGCTGGATCCGCCGTCCCAGCTAATGCGCTATATTTACAGAAGGCCTACCAAACCGAGTCGAACGAACTTGCGAAGCCTTCTCCTAACGTCATACCGCCCGTATTCATCCACCCCTCCGCACACGTTGACCCCACTGCTAAGCTTGGACCTAATGTCTCCATCGGACCCCGAGCGATCATTGGACCTGGTGCAAGAGTCAAGGAGTCTATTGTACTCGAGGACGCAGAAATTAAGCATGACGCTTGTGTGTTGTACTCCATTGTCGGCTGGAATAGCCGAGTTGGTGCCTGGGCTCGCGTTGAAGGCACACCCACGCCCGTTACAAGCCATTCTACCAGCATTGTGAAGAACGGTGTGAAGGTGCAAAGCATCACCATTCTAGGAAAGGAATGCGGGGTTGGTGACGAAGTCCGCGTACAAAACTGCGTCTGTTTACCTTTTAAGGAGTTGAAGAGGGTATGTCATACAAGTCTATCTCGAATATTGTAGTGGTTATATGGTATTAGTTAAGCTAACAAACTCAATAGGATGTCTCTAATGAAGTCATCATGTAAGGACGGTTACTATAGTAAAGCAAATCACTCACGGCCTCTCTTCTCCTTATGACGTTAGACGACACAGTTCGTTCTCAATTCGGTGTAATGGTATTAAAAAAAAACCTACTATGATACCTTTGGCGCGATGCACTAGCCAGCCAGATAGTCGAGAAGTTATATAATTGGCAATGTTTCTATTTTGGACTGTTGTATTAGCTTCTCTTTGCTCTGTCATTGTAGAACTACGAGTCTGAATCTGTATTTCACAATACAACTGCTACAACGTGATAACTTACTCGTGCCGCACTAAAAAGAATATCATATAAGCTGCCATGCCCCCATGATACTGATAAATACTAGTATAGAAAGATGTCTTCGCCCGCAAGATTAGTATAGCAACATAAATTTCTAGCAATGAGGCCATAAGGATGAAGTTTTAGTTTATCAATAGAAACGTCAGTCTCACCACAAGTTTGCACAATAGCATACCAGGTACCTAGGTAAATATGTAGCTCATGTTCAAACCAACAACATCCAAAGTCAACACACGTAGACCGTATGAGAGAATAAATGATATTAGTACCGAACTATTTGGGCGCAACGAACTAACCTGTGGACTCAGTCCACGACACAAATATAAGTACAAGAAGTAGCGCTCGAGAAGGTAAAAATATGCGCAGTCCTGGCGACTTTCAGAGAAAACGACTCTCTCGGAATCGTCCCTACCGATACGCGAATATTGTGCTCTCTGCTTCGCTTTTAACCTCGGTGCATCTGTCTTACTGCAGCTTCGCATCCGGCGGCGCGAAGAGCGGCCTAGGAGCCCCTGCGAGAGCGCCGCCGGCGACGGAGGGCTGAGACTGTCTCCACGGATGCGAGTCTCGCCACGTCGGCGGATCTTCCTGCCACGGCGGCGTCGCCATCCATTCTCCGCTTGGCGGGCGGGCAATACCGGCGTCGCTTTCGCTTCTCAGATGTGCTGGTTGCATGATCGGGGGTGCTGGAGGCGGCGGCGGCGGCGGTGGTAGTGGCATGCTTACTTGGGCCATGTATTCTTGGTGGGCTCTTGCGAGTTCCTCGTCCCGTAATGCGTTCATTTCTTCCTGCGCCATCCGAGCTCTCCGCCGCCGTCGACAGAAGAAAAATACTAGGCCGAATATGGCGAGTACGCCTACTGCTGACCAGACGCCGATGGCCACCCTGGCTCCTATGCTTAGACTCCCCGGAGGCTCGGTGGTCCCGATTGCTGATGGTCCCGCGGCGCCGAGGGCGATGCCGGCTTGAGCTGGGTTTGATTTGCTGGGGGTATCATCATCCTCCTTCTCCTCCTCCTCTTTCTCCTTTTCCTCCTTAGAATCGCTAGATCCCACTGATCCGCTAGACGTTTCGCTATCCGACGACTCTTCGCTCTCCTCTTCTTCTTTGTCTTCTTTCTCCTCCTCTTCCTCCTCCTCGGGTGGGGGCGCCTGTCTCCTCGAAGTATTTATAACTCTATGTCTTCGGAGGAAGTTATTAAGTGCTTCCTCTGGCAACGAGACCTCGCTGGCGCTAGTACCCTGAATCCAAGCGGCAGTGCTGACGAAGGTCGCAACGCGCACTGCGCTGATAGTCTTGGGAAACGTGTAAGACATTGTGTGTAGGTGGTTAAACTAAAAGAAAAGAAACGAATGGAACTGTCGTCGAGACAAGTAAGCCGGTCTCGCGTCCTCTTGGTGTTCTTGGCTCGATTGATACTTTACTACACGTGGTTCCACCAGGGACTAACACCGTAGTATAGTCGATCGATGATGGGAGGAGAGATCGTGCTTCGACGACTGGGGATCGCGAATGTCGATGAGCAAATGCCCTTCAACTCGTCCTGAAGGTATGGGTGTTGGGTCGCCAAGGAACATTAGATCAAGAAGAAAGGGGTGCGCATTCTTGGGGGAAGATCAACAGTATATACATCTTACCGTGTAAGTAGAAACCCGGAAGCGGTAATTAGGCACGCGACAGTAGGCGATCGACCTCTCTCTCTCCCCTATGGGTACCAGGTCTCGACCAAACCAAGTTTAGAGCGTTTTAGAGCCACTACGATGGAGGAGTACCTTGTCGAGTTGTAGTGGAACTCCGGGTTGACGATGAGATGAAACGAGATCCCAATGCCAAGAGTATCAACGCTCTCTTGGCGAGCCGCATTGTTGTGCTTGGCTTTCGTCCAGCTCTATCAAATTCTCTACCGATTTTAGTTCGACTCGCTACCATCTCAGTTAATTTCCGACTGGAAGATACTATGTAGGTGGCCTCGCGAAAGCCAAGCCTTATCCTAAACGAAGTCAGACGGCTGTCGTCACGAAATAATCAATCAATTAGCGCCGCTGACGATCACTTCACGAAACAATCACACGTACCTCGTCATCAAATGTTTCAACCTTACCAACCAACTATTTCTTAATCTTCCTTTCCTTACCATTGATAGGGCAGACCTCATATATGAAAGTTTCGAGGACACGCTTCCAGCTTATATCTAGCTTATATCTAAAGGGTCCCTTACGAACAGCCACAAAATTTGAGAAAGATCTCAGTATTGAATCAGGTAGGTCCCAGTCAAGCTTACCATACCCACTCTCGTCACAATCGGTGGGTGTAAGGGCATGTTGAATTCTTACTTGGCACTCTAGCTTTACCCAATAACACTTTGTCGGATCGAAGTACCGGTTTGATATGCCTCGTTGCACCCTTCGAGCACTACCAGGGGATACACATGCGTCATTCAAGACCGCATTGACCAATCTATGAGCCATAATAAGACCCGTCTTTCCTAGAAACATATCAAATACTAAAGCTTTCGTATCTATTAGAAGACTATTTTTAATAATATCTCTTTCTTAACTAAAGCACAACATCCCAAGGACACAATTAGGTGTATCAAATTGTGTTAATAAAAAATGAGGCGACTTGGTTATTGTAACTAATCTAGTCACACGGCCATCGCTAGTTCTAAGAGTTTCTAATTTCACCTCATACCAAAGGGGATAACCCTTGTGTTCGCTTATTTTATATGTGTGTATATTCCATGTTTGATGATTAACTACCTAGGTACCTAAGGTAGTCTTATAGCCTCAAAAGTTGTCTCGATCTCAACCCCGAGTTAGGCATTAGTGACCAAGCAGCGTATCCAGTGCCCTTTTCACAACGACTAGAGACCCTCTCGTGTTTACCTATCATTAAATACTCATACGATGTCTTTAAAGTATACGAGTGCTCATTGTACGTGATGTCGGTTCTCGCCGGAATATAAGTACAGCACGAATTATCCGATTAACTACGAATATATTGTAAGAATATTGGCCTTATGCTGGTAGGTAAGGGGGTATTCACTAGTATCTATCACATATATATGCTGCTTCCTTTGTCATCTCTCATTACTGGATATTCTACAAGCTCCTAACCTTCTAGACTTATAAAACAGTATGAAGTAACTTCGTTCTACTTTGTGGTAATAATGATCAGATAAAATTGTAGCCTACCTTCCATTGTTATGCTATCACAGCTGAGCTATTTCCATGAAATTCAAGGAGTGTCGCTTACCCAGCTTATTCGTCATTTGGGCTACGCAATATGGTTACAAGTAGAAAGTCGTGCGAGGTTTTACACTATGAGCTTAAAAGGAATATTAATTCTCATAGTATTAACGTCTTCAATTTAAATAGATGGTATCGCTTACCAAACGACGTTGTCGAGGACGTGGAAATAAATAATAAAGATTTCGTCTCATGCATATTAAGCATACGACTATCCAGAATTCTATTCAGATTCGACATTAACCCCTAGTGACATAAAATATTTAAGGGGAACCGGTTCCTTTAGATTAACTCTATCGACTTCTAGCAACGTAGATGTTACGATGATATCTTTATACAGGGCTACGAGAAGGTCACTCGTGCTGCCACTCGTATTGGTACGAATGTGCCAAAATGTAGACAGCTCCGAACCTTTTTGGTTCTTTTTTCTTTTCCCCCCTTTTTTCGTGAAGGCTATGTGGATTCTTTTCAATCTTTAAAACGTAGTGTTTGTTTGGCACGATATTTACTTAAAACTTACGCCAGCAACTCTTTATCCCTTAACTCTCTACATGTTACCTGGGTAGATTGCGTACGTCCTTTCCATGATGCACAATACCAGAAGCCCTTAGGTAGCAGAAATTGGAAAAAGAAAATAGCTTCTAAAATTAATAAAGTTGCTCGTAGGATAAAAAGCCTCGAAGACACCCTACAACGCATACTTCCACCTTGGTTTTATGATCACCCAAACCATCTATTTCGTATCTGCCATTTCAATTTTCCCCCAAATCTCTGTGTATATAAAGAAGTAAACGTATTTGAAAGTAGCAGGGTCGAATAGTATTCGATAGATGCGGTCGTAGGTCTATTCAGGAGAACTAGAGCAGCACACGCTAAATGAATGAACCGAATTTAACCAAGCCTCGAAGTATACGGCAAATGTAACATGTCAAGGGCCAGCTACTTTTAGCAATAGGTGCGTGATGGTATCGGTGGGCATCATGATGGCGTCCAGATGCATCAAGCCCAGCAGTCTAGACTATTCTAAATTCCACCGAGATACGTCGCATAGTCTAGGTGGTCCTTTTCAAGCAGAATATAATAGCTTAGGTGTGTGGTTATGGAAGTAATAAATACCAAGGTGAAAACCAAAGACCTCGATGACAGATCACCGCGCATGTTAATAATTACATTTCGAGGGTTCTAAGTCGTGATTGAGACCATACGTGGATACAATATGTCAAATCAACATCCGCAAAGTCAATCAAAGAGATTGTAGACTATTATTACCTAAAGGGCTATATACATGAGAGGACCTAGAAAAGGTGTAGCTCTATCTATATACAACTCTGGGTTGGCATAAATACAGAATCGATATATGAGTTAAAAGATCTTTCAATCTTACCAATTAATACAACCTGCACTGTGCATGACCTTTTTGAGTAGTACGTGTTACTGCGTGCTTCCGAGGTTGAGTTAGCATGGATGATGGATGAAGGTAAGTAGGTAGTCGATATCTAGGTAGAACAGTGTAAAAGCTAGTCTTTCATTTCGAATATTGAATACAGCCCGTGATACTAACAATCGACCCCATACTACATGGGAGGGCAAAGCACAAGGTGTAACTGTATAAGAGTGTGGCTATGAAATGCTATATACTTTAATCCCTAAGTACAATACTATAAATCATGGCCCCCATCGACTAGGAACTACATAGATGAACCCTGGATATAGTCAAATGGAGTAATAAGATCCCTGCAGCCTGTATTCCGAAGCCGTAGGCTCGGTGCGGAGCCGAGTAGGGGATCCCAGTCGCCACGCGGTGCTAGTCGCTAAGGCCGGGACCGCCTCCGTGGTACAGACAGGCATATTGTACATGAATAAACACGTGTTACGGTACATGCATGGCTTAGGCGCAGTCCCGCGCCCTTCAGCCTTTCAGCTGTGGCTATTATTGGGAGTGTGGTATTGCTCGACTTATAGTATAAACCGGGAAATGGGTGTATATTCTAAGATGCAAGTACGACATCAGGCTTATGCCAAGGAGATGGGGTCAGAAGAGAAAGAGATAGGATGGGGAAAAAGGACCCTCCTCTTGGTAAATCCCACGACCATTCGCCGTAACCTCCCGATGCGACAGGTTCGCCGTGGGTATCCGTCACGTCATAGAATAGATGAACTAATAGATAGCTCCGTTCTGTTATTTGCGGTGGTGAGAGTGCAGCCAACTGAGTCACGCTCCCGGGGGCGTGCTACGTAAAGGCTGCGAGTATCCGATATCAGCTAGCCCGTGGCAATATCTCAATATACCCACGGCCTATCGAACAGGTTCGAAGAGAGAGACATCAAGTTTACTAGTAATTAGGCAGCGCCGCTAAGTAATAGCCTCGTTCTGCCTAGGTCAGGTGAGGCAGAAGCAATATGTATGCTTTTCTAAACTTGTCCCGTGGAATGAGGGCTGGAAGAGGGGTTGGTAGTATCGCGATAGCAAGTAAGGCTATGACGAAGTTAGGTGAGATTACACTGCATGCAACATAGGTAGGTAACCTGGCTGTATTGCTTAGGGGCGTACAAGGGAACTAGGATTCTAAGGCAGCCTGGATATCTATAGCATCTTACAGATAGTCTCAGGGAATAGGGGGGGACACCCGTTCGTGATACCTCCACCTCGGGCCGATACGTATAGCATTGCTCCCTAATGTGCCTTAAGGACTTTGCGATATGTATGAGGTTCTAAAAATGAATGGGATTTACACATCTAGACTCGTCTTTGGAGGGGAGAAGAGGGGTTGGGTTAGGTTGGGTTGGCAAGTCCTTAACTCCCTACCCTATCGATAAAGGAACAAAGGTGAAAGGGGGGGAAGCAAGTGACTGGTACGATACGCGAGTATGATGAGTATAGGTCGATAAATTAATCTTAGGTTAGGTATCTAGGTTAGACGCTTTACTTTCCGTTGTGTCCGTTGTGTCTTGGTGCAGGCTGTGCTAGTGTGACTATAACCCTACGTACAGATGATGAAGATGAGGATGTTTACTTTGTTGGCAGGGGTCTCTGCCCCTCTACTACGTATGACTTGCATAGACGCCGGTATCTCCTAAGCCCAGTCTTCGAGAAGTCGAGGAATTTCATGCCTGCCCACGTCAATTGCAGCAAGGAGACATGTATAACACGTCAATTAGATAAGGGACTGTGTCTAAAGGCTAGTTATTACTATCAATCTATATTCATGCCAATGGATTTGCCCATCGAATGATTCCAGCTGTCTGCCTGATGGTCTCGTGTAGTACTCGAACTTGATCATCTATACATACTCGCATGGATACGACGTTCCTGGCTAGAAGGCCACTATTACGAATTTTGGACGGGAACTAACCTAGGTAATTGGTGCAAAGATACGAAATGCCGCTATCGATGTGTTTGCTTGGCTGTTTATCGTCCGACATTGGGAGAGGGGAGCCGGTCGATCTGTTAGACAGAGTACGGGTCCGCGCATATGCTCGCTGCGTACTAAGCCTTACGAGAAATGTGTGTATTGTACATAGTAAGGGTATGTTTTCCGAGTGTAAGAAAGAGGGATGGCATACATTTCCTACGTTGAGCCTATTTCCCGTGCCTTTCACCCCCCCTTCTCCTTGTTGGCGCGAGACTCAATTCGTTTGGTGTGTGGCACGAAGTAGAAAGCAGGTGGGTAAGAATATACTCCTTTCCCTTCAATTCGAATAGTGTAGCGAAATAAGACAACTGTGCCATATCGGCCAGCTACTGTAGGAGGTAGTATTCAATGATACTATTTCGGTCGCAGACCAATGCGACTTCATGTATGCGCAGCTGCTGCGCAAAGAGGCCGGTGCCTTGCCGTTGCTTACGTGACAGACCGACCTAATTTACCTATTATACCATCCTACTAACCTAGGTTAGGGACTTTGGCCCCTTATCTACCGGGGGAGATGAGGGCTATTTGAAGCCTCAGCACGTACATGGATGAAGATCCTGACCTGTGATTGGACATACAATGTGCCCCAGCTCGTGGCAGAACCCCAAAATGGAACACAAGACGAGATGGATGGGCGGGTGAATGGACGAAAATTTGATCTGATCACATCAGCACGTAAATAGTCGCCGAGATTCCTAAACGACCAACTGCCGCGACAGACGCGGCAGGCTGGACAAGGAATAAGGGAGGTTGGTGGCCTTCTGTGTTACTTATTCGGGTCGCCTGTAAGAGAGGAGTAGGTAATAACTTTGACTTTGACGAGGACCAATCTGCATTCCTTCAGCAAAGTATCCCTTTCAACAAGTGCATCTGGTCCATCCCGCTCCGTATAATCGGCCGCCACCTCCGATAGGTCCGAAAAGCCCATATCCATGGTATGCAAGGTACTCAACTTCGGTTCTGTTATTATTCTATCCCTAGTTTTGATCAATAAAAAATACTAATACATGATCCAATTCTTCCATGCCAGGGATATGTTGATGTGATTTTGGCCCGGAACACAACCAACGTAAATAAACATGGAGTGAGTCTCATATGGGAGGTATGTGTAAGTGTATATACTTTGCTGTTTAATACACACCCCCATCCATCAGCTCACTAGCCACGATTACGATTACACGATCACTTGCAGGAGGATGATGTACTGTCAAACAGGTAATTGAAACGAATTGTCTTAGTATGTATGTACCTATATACATAGGTATAGCCAGCCTGAGAAGGTGTAGTGTATTTCATGATGCCTAGTAGAAACAGAGACGAAGGAGAATTTCCCTTGTCGCTCTTCGCGTGGCAGTGGATTCATATGTACTGTAACCTCGCAGCGGCGGAATCCTAAGGCGCTCCAAGCTCCTCCCCATGTCGCCGGTCACTGTGCCGTACACTTACGATACAATGACCCCTACACTTCCACCTACTCAATCCAAAAGGGGCCTGCAGGGTGCAAGTACATATCTACCAGGGCGAGCAGCGGTGCGCATATGAGCGGATCCGTTGGCGCCCTATTCAAATTCGTAGGTGCCTAACAACAATACTATGACGGAAGGACAAGTTGGAACAACCAATTCACTTTGTGACTCGAATGATGAGTGGCAGACTCGCTTATTCGATTGATAACTCGTCGACAGACCGGAAAGAGGGGTAAATGAACTGACGAATGAGACACCTGGTGGCCCGCCGGTTCGATGGCCGTGATGATGCCAGCCTTCGGTATACTAGGTATGCTATACGTACGGAGGGGAGTAGGAAGTCTAATCCTGGGATGTACTGTAACAAGGAAAAAAAAAGAATAAGTTGACATGCAGACTGCAGCAGCTTGGACCATGGAACACGGACTGACTTGGATATCAGAACAAGACATGGGGTGATTCATCGCTAAAGGAGCCTGTAAGAGCCCCTAGAAAATGCCAATGCGGTAGAGGGTTAGTGATGGACCGTGTCCTGTAACCCTAGCGATGGAACCCTAACATGGCACTCGGCCTCATGTCATGAAGAAGAAGAATAGCAGCAATTATCCTCATCATCACAATAGTCAGAGTTGAATACAGGAATCCGGGGAGAGATCAAACGTCTTTCCAACCTAGCTGTTATGCCAAGCAAGCAAGCATAATCGTATACACATAATAAAACTTCCTCAACATTCTCGTGTTCGTGTTCCAAGACCGCGTGGTTGAGTGGCTTAGGCATGAAGGGCAATCTCGGCCAAACAGACCCCGTCGGCGCACAAAATTAAATGAATGACATGGGAAAGAAAAAAAAAAAAAGGAAAAAAAGCAAAAATTATCGTTAGATAGTAAATAGAAAAGGTTTGAAGGATTTTATTTATGTATATTAATAAGTTTGTCATTACATTGCGCCATACATAGGAACGGAGGCTGACATTGCATGGTACCTAATCCATCCTTCAACATTTTTTTTCTTTTTCTTTTTACTTAACTAGGAGGTACTGTACCTAAGCTACCTAGGAAACGTCAACTGTTATGGCTGCAGCAAGTACACGCACACAAATTTACTAAATGTGTCAGATATATAGAACAAGAGAAAATCGAAGACAATATTAGCTTGGCGACAAGATGGGAAGATATCTTGCGTGATAAAACACTGTGGGAAGATAATCAAAGAAAATACTACGTACCTCCTAACTACACGATCAATAAAATATACGATCAATCATCCAAATCCATGTCTTTGAGAGTCAGAGGCGGAATGATCCACCAGTGCAATAATATTATAGCCACCAGCGATAGAGCTCTACGCTGCAACAACGTTAGCAAACGGGTCCTGATCTAAGACCGCATATCTCTCACACAACACAGGTGATTTCGGCAGCAAGCATATGCATACTACATGCAAACATAAGGACCGCGGGACAAGAACTTGCATACGTGCAACACCATGTGTAAGGAAACTAAACCCATGGGGAACTTGATTGCTATCCAAGCACAGGTCAATCATATCACAGTCAAGATGGGGTCACATTCGTAGGTAAAAGACGGCGAAGGTAGGAGAATAAAAATAGTGGTCTTTTTGTCTTCCTGAGATTCAAGCTACCTAAACAATGAGAAGAAAAGGGGGTATCTCCCAGCCAGCCAGTACAACCATATCCCGATCTTTAATAGAACACGCAGGGAACCTCTATAACTGTATCCCTGCGGAAAAGACAATAAAGCAAAATGCCACCTTGTTCGACCGAACGCCCGCTTGTATTTGCGCAGGGTGCTAACTGGTGAAGCAAAACATAACTCGGCTGGAATAACGAATCCGTCGCTGATATCAATAATAATAACCATTAAAACTCTTTTCTATAGTTGGGTCATAGCCAACCTCATGTAATAGCCCATCAACGGCTTCCGTAATACCGTGGCGCAAAACAAAACAATTCCTTCTCCAAAAACCAACTTTTGAGTTCCCGAATAATGTCCCAAAAGGGTATATCGCTCGTGTCCTCGTCAACTGCTTGCGCGGTGAGCGTGTGTGCAATATAGACACGCATTGTCCTCTCTCTTCGTCCGGGGTATCTTGGAAAAAACGAAAGACGAGACAGGAAAATATCCAGGCCCTTCTTCCCTCGATGCATGCGTAGTGCCCTGCGGCGTGTGTAATATGACAGATGAAAGACATCCTGAACGGGAAATCCTGGTATCGATGTGTCACTCCGGAAATACAACCGAAACAGGAAATCAGTTTCTACTTGTACACGATGGCATAGCCATCCTTCGTCCTTTTTCAAATGGTTTTAGTAATGTTATGGTCCATCCTCGGAAAATATTGGGTCCAATGGATGGTAGTAGTAGTAAACTTTGGGGGAAAAACAAATGAAGGGTCCGGGTATCTATTGTTTAGGCCTCTTCAATATGTCTTCGCAGTTCGCATCGAACCGCAAGTTCCAAAGGCGGACTTGTTGCATAAAAGCCTCGGTGCGTTCAAGCTCTCTCTCACGGCCAAAGATGGTCCTGACGAACTCCACTCCGGCATTCTGTCCGAGGTGGGATGCTTCCTTAGCCTTAGAGGATCTCAACATGGGGGCCTCGCATTTCTTGAGCAAGACACGAAGCTTGTCCGTTAAGCGTTCACCGGACTCAATAAAATCTTCAATCATTTCCTTGTTTGCCTGGGTCCTAACCTCGGGCACAACTTCCTCGGCACGCTTTATCTTGCCAGAGAGTTGGATAAGAAGAACCCACAATTCACCAGCTACGTCGGCAATGGGAGTAGAGGCTCCGTGGTGGTGGACAGTCCAATCATAGATCCACTTTCCTAAAGAGTTTGAATCGAAGACACTACCTAGCAACATGATGGGTTCCTCGGCGGGGTCCCAGTTCTTCAAGGAGTACCCAGGAGGGATGCGGTGCTTCCGGGCATCTGCCTCGGTGGCTTTCTTCTGCCCCGAGGCAGCAGCCTTCTTC